ATGCAAAAAGAATAGTTTAAGAGAGGAAGATACATCATAACCTAACATTTATTTTCCTCCCCCTTTATCGACAAGTGTTTAATCAATCAAGTCTAAAATAAACAGCGTTTAAACGCAACACTTTCAGATTTTGTACATAGTCATTTCTCAAGCTCCTTGAAACCCTGGATACACATAGGCGTCGGAACCGGGAGGGGGGGGGGGGTAGGGGCGGCTTAGCCCTCCCCCTCTTTCTTGCAAAGAAAGACATTATATATAGGCAATTTAAATTGGGGTTTATCTTTTTTTGTTGGTTTAGCACCCCTTATCAACTAGCTCCCCTTCCTATTTCCTTCCGAAGCCCATGATACGGTTATCGACCTACAATTTAGGGAGTGTATTCAAACTGCCCGCGAATTACCAGATATCCAAAGTTTTTCTGGAGAACTATGACCATCAAATACGTGATAATGAATGGCATAGAAGATGATAAAAAAGAAAATGAGGATGGACATTTTCAGTGAATCCCCCATACACATTTTTTTTGCACTTTGATTAAATCTTTCCCAGTTAATGTACAACTACATGTATTTACAATTTACAAGTTTGAGATAAAGAGGTTTAACTGTATATATAATTATATATTACTGGGGATATGTCGTGTTCTTGTAAATGTTCTTTCAAGAATGAAGAATGAATACCCTAAAATTGAGAGAGAGAGAGAGAGAGAGAGAGAGAGAGAGAGAGAGAGAGAGAGAGAGAGAGAGAGAGAGAGAGGTCGATCTAGAAATATTTTCTACACATTTAAATTAAAAAAAAAATCATACCTGTTTTTCTAATTTTATTTTTAAACTTTTATACCCCCTCCACCCAAAAAGACATGATGCATAAGACGTGTACAGCAGCTTATATGTTTTTATTAAAAAAAAATCACACTACATATAATTTCTTAGTGAATAAGGATAAAAACCAAACTTAAAACGATGGAAATGTAACCAGATGGTTTAGACATCGGGATCGAGATGCCTCTCATACCTCGATACGGATACGGATACGTATACGGATACGGATACGTCAGATAGAACAATCTCTAATAGCAGTAAAGATCGTTGGTGTCCTAGCTGTCGCCATCAATGGAGGGGTTTTCGTTATTTTAATCAAAGATAAGAATATTGAAAAGTTTTAGTCCTTATGTTAAGCGTGAGTGATTTTACCATCGGGTTTCGAATTCTGTGCACGGGACCGATCCTATTCATTCCTTCTTTAAGGGGAAACAAGATCTTAATTGTCTTGCAAACAGTTTTGATGAACAATGGCATGTGTCTATCACTCTTACAGATCTTTCTCATAAGTTTACAGCGATATCTGGTTCTTTGCAAAGAACAGTGGAACATTTATATTTTTGATCGGAATCGGTATTCTGTTTGTTGTTTTAACAGTGCTTTTATTATAACAATCATTAACCTCGTTTTCATTTCACCACATCGGAGGAATTTTGATATTTTTAAAGACCATGTTCTGTCTTACGTCTATCATGGACAAATTTTGGTACACTCGATATACCTTAGGAGTGTTACACTATCCCTGTTATCATTGACGCTTATCCTTTACTTTGTAACAGTTTCCCATATTGCAAAAACGTACAAGAGAGAATCAAATTCCATACACATATATTTGCATATCCACTGCTCTCTCCTACTATGAACATGTTGTCATCTACTGCATTCATAGAACTATAGACGCAACTGCTTCTTCTATCAGTGCAATTGCTCTATCACACTCGTGTAGAACAAGATCTACTAAGCTTAAGCAACGTGTTGAGAAATATATATGCAATGTTTTGTAAGAGGAATAGAAATAAGTTTTTAATAATATTCTTTAAAAAAAAAAAGAAATTCAGAATATTTAAAATTGCTGATTTATATCTTTAAAAATTTAATTTTGTTTAATGTATTTAATTGTATAATAAAACTTTTTAAAATTAAAGAGAACTGCCATATTTTTATTTTTTCGTATCATGCATATTTGTACAAAGAACGATAACTCCTCACACTTGGGTAATAACATTCAGAAAGAGAAAATTTCTTTAACTAGTATAATATCTATTTCAAGAATGATTTCAGCTATTAAAAATAAATAAAAAAAAAATTTAAAAAAAATCATAGAAAAACATTCTGGAGTAATAATCATTATAAAAGCATACTCATTTTTCATCATAGTGTTAAATTATTGATTTTTCTACGAGGGTTTTAATAACGTTGATCGATGACGTCAAAACTGCATTAAAACAATAAAGTGATGACGGCGCTGCTTGTATCCAGATAACTGTGTTTAAGACGGAAATACTTTATAAATTGTTTGTGATTTATTAGAGAAAAGGAGCATTGATCAGGTATACTGATTTTAAAGCGGTATGTTTTTCTTTACTGAAGACAAGAAGCTGCGTCCTTATGTAAGTCAGGATATTCTTGAACAAAATCAAAGAATGCAAATATAAGTAATAAGTAATAGCAATAGCTCCGCTGGCATATTTTCCATGATGCGCTAGCGCGCATCATGGATTATGCCAGCAGATCAATTGCTATTCATAATGCCATGTTCACTGAATAACGTTGTTTATTTCTTAAATGTACAATCCATGTCCAAATGAGGCAGCAACTGAAGGGGACGCAACTGATAAAAAAACAACTGATGAAAACCATCTAGGAAAATCGCTGATCCAGAGTCAATGCAAGTTGTTGTCATTGAGACAGAAAACGTTTACAGTACTTTGAAGTTAGTTGGTTTATTAATTGTACTCCTCATAGTTTTGACTGGACCGTACATTCTGTCATTATGGAATGGTGATACTTCTTCCAAATCTAACAGTGTAATGATTTCCCTCCGTGTTGTGAATTCTTTAACAAATCCGTTCATATATCTATGGAATCTTTATGATATTAAAAGAATTGTAAAATCTAAATGTTGTTCCAGACATTTAGCTGGTTACTTGTAATTTTTTATTAGATAATTTATATAATGAATAATAATAAAAAAATTCTTTTGTTTGTTTCTTGTTTTTCGTTCCTTTCAAGAATTTTTTACTTGTATAGAGAAGCCACCACTTGTCAGTGAAGGGCTGCAAGTTTTGTCCCTTACTCGACACAGTCATCAGACAGCGAGGGATTTTTTGTCCCAACACCTATAGCGACACGGGACCTCGCTTTATACGGTCTCATTTAAACAGGTCGAGGAAACTACCTTATATGGATATTGTTGTCATTGCGCACAAAGGTGCTCACAGCAAACAATTGTTCAATCTAGTGAATGAGCCGAAAAGCATGATGGTCTACTACATTTTTATTTTTACTACAAACACGTGGGTTAAGGGAAATTTAGGATGCGATTTCAATTGACTGCTGGAAAGTCAATTTACAATTTTTTGAAATGTGTTTGAGAAAAAAAACGAAGAATAGGAACTAATCAAGAATTTCCATGCTCACATTAACAAACAAAGTCAGTTTTCCTTGTTGAATAGTACTTTGAAAAACCGCTCACAAAGTTTCCACAAGTAAGAAATAAAGGACTCCAGAACTTGATAATCGTAAATTTGCTATGTAACTAGCGGAATTAGTTATTGCTCAGTTATTTGTTAGTAGAAATTTATAGTTCATGCATTTACAAAGAGGACTTGAGTTGCACGTTTTTTTTTATTAATTTACCTCTATATTAATTCTCATGTGCATTGATCATAGAACGTGTATAGAGTAGCATAATGTATGTTTCGAAGTTGTATACGTTGTAAACATTGTCAATACGTGAGCACACCTCAGAGTAGGTTTTTTTTTTTACCGATGAATAGCCACGTGAAATTTACTTTTCACTGACAGTGGGAAAGCTGTAAACAAACAGACTTGTACAATGGAGTGGGGAATACCCCAATTTTTATCATTGTTAATCATTTGTATGTAAATGTGAGCATGGGGTTAGTAGATAATAATGTACATATTATATTAAGCATGTAAAATGCTTGGAAAAGTGCATCACGTTTTTCCGAGAGCGATTAAAAAAAAATGCTTTTCGAAACACACATGTAGTATTTTTTGTAGTAGCCCATAATGCAACTCATTGAGCTGATTGGTCGATTAGTCAGTCACGTTGGTTCCTCACTTAACATGTAAATTTATTCCGACGTCACAGAAAATAGTTTCCTCGACCTGTTAAAGGATTGGTCTCCATATGTCCCACGGTGCATTAGAACCCACGACGTAAGGATCAGTTCTTTACTCCAAAACTCTAGAACATATGCCCTAACCACTGCGCCAAACGAGGGACAAAGTAGTAAATTAATAAGACTTGATTTCGTCAGATACAACATATTTGGTAGCCATTATGTGGAGATTGTGTAATAATATTTCCCATTTAATACTGTGATTTATATATACCTAGATTATGCTTAATATGAACGGGTTTTGAAGAATTAAATGCTTGTTGGGTCGAAGGCTGTTTCATGTACCATTTGAGGGATTTTTTTACTCATATTTAGATATCAGTATCATCCAGTGAAAGGCTTCAAATTTAGACCTATACTCGGAAATCAGGACCATTCAACAATAAAGAATCTTTATCGTGCCAAAATCCACCCCGACAAGAAACCTTGGTTTTTAAGGTTTTATCCAAAAGACCCGTGACTTTTCATATCAGGCACTTGGCGAAAGAACAGTCACTAAATATAATTTTAATTCCAATAGTTTACTGTAATGTACTGGTTCCGTGAATGCAATTTACTTTGGCAGTACTTTACTTCGCATTAATTTTCTGCAAATTTAACTCTCCGTGTGAACAGGGCGATAAAAAAAATCAAATATTTAAAATATCTGATATTGAAGTATATTGAAGCATTTATTTGGTGTTTATAATTCCACAGATACATGTAAAATATGGTAAGTTGATTTTATTATTTGTTTTGTAACATATTACAGGAAGAGATTCTTACAAGCATTATATATAGCATTCAAAATCAAACTGTAACATTTCAACACTTAATAATGAAAGACTTTGATTCTGCGGAATCTACATTCTTTGTTGTAAAAACCAACTTTCCTGAAAAAGCAAAAATAAAGTTCAAATTTAATACATGCACTTTTAAAAAACATATGAAAGAAAAAGTAGACGGGGATGAATGTACAAATATATTGCACTGAAAAAAACCCAAAAAATATATTCACAATTTATTTTTCATATTTCATTTTTCAGTGTTCAGGCATTCAATAAGCTAAAAACACCCTCCTTCAACAACAACCACGTACATGTACAGTGATCGATATCACTAATTTTCGTAATAATGGTGATGGGGGTCATTTATGTTTTTTCGATATATGAAGATAACCAGGAATTTATGTCCAACACGAAATGTAAAATTTCTTATGCATTACTACTAGACATTCTTCAACAACAAAATTATGTCTCCACAATATTTTTTCCTCAAATCTCAAAAATTTGACCTCACGAAAATGTGATTTTACAGTATATAAATTACATTGATATTAACTACTTTGATAATGCGGATAAATATTTCTAATGGCTGTGGTAAAGTTTATGAATTTATTTTTAAAAAATTAAAATACTTGCCGGTTAGGAAGAAACAGAGGAGTGGATCCAACTAAATAATATCCAGGTTTAGTTGAAGACGGATATTTCGGATCCTCCTGTCGAAAATACTGAACGCATTCTCTCTCGTTATAGTTGAGACCTAGTGCTGCAAAGAAAACAATACGGATATTCAAAAATTCCACTACGGGTTAATTTATGTTTACTGAAAAAAAGTTTGAAAAAAAATTTGACCTCACGAAAATGTGATTTTACAGTATATAAATTACATTGATATTAACTACTTTGATAATGCGGATAAATATTTCTAATGGCTGTGGTAATGAATCTCATGAAAAGAGTAAACAATGCAAAAAATGAATTTAAGTTTACTTAAATTTTCTTTCATTTTTTAAATCAATAAATGTCCCCCTTGAATGTCGAAGTCTGTTATATTGTATAACTACACGTATGTATTTTAATGGTCATTTTGCTAATTAATTACATCTACACTAATTCCTCTGAATTTGATTTCAATTTTTAATCATAAGTTCGTTTGTTGTTTTTTTTACTCTTAGCCAAAGTTTCGCCGGATGATGAATTATGGGTATAAGTTACGATTTCTTAAATTGGCAACGGAAAATCCAAATTCAACATTTGATGTGCTTTGGCTGTAATGGGGGAAAATCATATTACATGTATTTGAAAATAGGAGTATAAGCTTACCGCTACAACATCTCACTGCCACATTTCCGTGTTTATCCATAGGAACTGCTGAGTATCCACTAACATAACCATTGTTTGGACAGCGGTAAGGACGAGAATTATGAATATTTATATCTACAGATAAAAAAATGATAATGATACATTTAAACTTTGAATGATGAGAATATAATGAAAATATTCATGAATTGAACACTTGATTTAAGACAGATCACAGAAAAAATTATTTTCAAAATTTTACATGTATTTCACATTTACCTTTCTAAGAAAAGAACAAAGAAAATTAAAGCTTACTTACACCTGATGCATGTACTTACAAATCATCTTACATCCTTTGATTGGCCCAGGTGGCGGATCACAGTTAGGAATGGTCTCCCCATACCGTGGTCGGAACGATACAGGTCCCCCGTTATCACAGAAATGGTTCTTAACATATTGCTCAGGATAATGCACACCTAGAGTAGGTTAAAATAAATAACATTTTGTTTGAATAGGTGTACATGAAACATATGGAGATAACAAATAGTATTCAAGTTCGAAAGTCAAAAAACTATACAAATTATGAGCAGAACAAACACGGAGCTCAAAAACCACAGAAGTGTAATCAGGTACCATGGAGGAGTGAGCATTTCCTGCCGACCGGTAATACTCGTTAAAAAAAATGCTAACTTAATAAATTAACCTATTTTTGATAGTTGTTTATCTCACAAGTTTGTACATGTTTGTAAATTAACAAAGCTAGATATTGAGAAAAAGATACAAGCTCATCGGAAAGAATACCATAGCATTTAAAAAAACGTACCATATTATTTTTTTTCAAAGGTGTACTGCTCTACATTCAACCGAGAGAGTGAAAATAAACACAACTTTGTATAGAAACATGTCATAGGTTCATGAAAGGAGCTCTGTGTGTCATATGCCAATGAAAACCGATCTTATATAAACAGGTGATACGCATTTCTTACTTTGATGCACATTGCAGCAGGTGTAGATGTTCTTTTGCATATAAGTTACAGTTTCCATATATATGATCAAAGTATTAAAGATATGATAAAAAAGAACAGGCCATCAATTTGATTTAACTTTTGATCTGGGTAGTGAGCCGTTTTGTCAATTGGAACCTTTGGTTTCGTTTATCGTTATGACAGAAAAATAAAATGTCCAAGATAAGTTGGACGTCAGTCTCATTGATTTGAAACTCACATTTAAAACATACATGTATTAGGCTATTATATACACACTGAATTGTCGACGGACTTTTTCGTTATTTCCTGATCATGACAAGGAGCACAGGGCTGGTGTGACCGGTCGGCAGGGGGTGCTCACATCTCCATGGCACCTGATCCCTCCTCTGATCTTTTGGTGACCCATATATGTTCTGCACCTATTTTGTATTATATAATGGTCATTTCAGCTTGAATACCGTTATCTCCATATGTTCACATAGGTTCTGCCCGCTATTCTTTAAATTTAAAGATATTACATTTTCTTAATATAGCTTAAAGCTACACATTTGCGTTTCATAATTGTAAATATGAATTTATATCATCGCATTTGAAAAAAATATAGCTACTGTATGCGTCATATAATGAAAATTTACTTCTAAAATAAAATGGAAGAAAACGTGAAATAAAATGAATTAATTTTTTGCACTGGATCACTCCAAACTAAGGTACACTGTAATGACCACTGGAAGCCTTGTTCAACTTTAATTTGAAAATTCGATATACTGAGACACTGTCATGGTCTCTTTATTTTGTCTTTCGGTCTGATTGATTATTTTAATACATGTAGTGAAGTAAAATAATTCAAAGGATTTTAAAAGGTTTTTTATATGGTATAGATGATTTCTTGTAGTGTCATTTTTAGCTCACCTCAACAAAGTTGGGGGAGCATATGTGATACATATACCTTTGGCTTCCGCATCGTTGTTGGCGGCCCAGGTTAAGGTTTTGTTGCAGTTTTCTTTTAAAGTATTTATATGCCGTACATTAATCAGAAATGACTAAAAGATGCTTCTAGAGTGCTTCATCGTACCAGTACTTGTCAATGTTTCAGATGCTGCAAATTCAGCTAAAGAATGACCATGTTAATGTATTTGGAGCAGGTTAAGTCTGATGCGATTAAAGTTTTCTTATGCAGGTATCGTATTTTATTGTGTCAAAAACGTACACGCGTGGTTAAAAAAATCTTCGTTGACACTCGCCGTCGATCTGCAACGTCACGTCTTTATGACGTTATTTCTCTGTTTTAGTGAAAATGCCATAAGGGCCCTTTTCTCATGGGCGCAATTATATGTTTTGATCTGGTACTATACGGAACATGCCATAGTCAAATTAAGTATAAATACAGACCGATCGTTTTAAAACAAGTGTGCAAAAAAAAATCCAAGTATATTTCCTTACAGGGTCAATATGACGACCTAGAATGTACAAAACGTTGACTTAAGATGGGTTTGTTGAAATATCTGTAAGATTTATCTTACAGCAATATACCTTGGTTAAAGACTGATCGCTCTTGGAACACATTCTTCGTTTTCTTATTTCAAAGGTTTTTAAATTTCGCGATATCTCAAAAAGTACCAATTGCGATGGTTTTAATTTCACGCTTCAAGAAATTAATTCAAATTTTGTATGAGCATTTAAACGTTTTTAATAACTAGTAATAGAAATCAAGATGTGTTCAATTTCGCGGAAAGTGATAAATCTCGAAATAAAACCATCGTGGTTATTTGCCAATCTACAGTATTTAAGAAATTTGAAGATTTTACATATAACACCATACATGGTAGGTGGTATCGGCAAATTACTACATAAATAGAAATCAGAATTCAAACAGTTTATTGAATGATCAATGGAATTTTTATGTTAAGTTATACACAACGACTCTTCTTAATTGTTTTTCATAAATTAAAAACCACATAATTAGAAACATTTAAGACATCTTTATGGAGTATTTTCTTTTCTCCTTTCAATGATCAAATGTTTCATCAACCTTTTACAATGCTAGAATATACGTGTAAAGGTTTAAAATCAAGAAATTGAAATAAGCTAGAGAGAATGTTTTTCTACACTGTAAAACGAGTTCACGCGGGTTACTAGCCAGTATGTATTTACTTCAGAAAGAAAGTATTTTTTGTTAAAAATAAAATTCATCATAAAACAGAATGAGTTTTTTTTAAAAAATGAGAACAATAAAAAAATTCATCAAAGAAAAATGTTATAATCATGTTTACCGGTATATATTTTACTTTTATGCCTTATTTCAATCTTGCCCATTTCTATATATTCTTCTATTTTAATTCATTTTTTGAATAGAAAAATTCAAGGAAATCTCCCAATGATCCTTACATTTATTATTTTGACCCATAAAAATATTTTTAGGTTTATGATATATTGAAAGATCCCATGCAAACTTTATAATAACTTTTAATTAATTTAAATGATTAAAATGAGTTCATTTCTAAGATTCAATGTGTTATCATAGGATAGAAAATGCCAGAGTTTGAACATACCTGAAAAGCTGCCTTGAAAATAACCTCCTCCAATTGCAGGAACAATGCTCTAAGAAAGAAATTGTCTCATTATATAAATGTTAATGCATTTAAAAAACAAACCTTTTAAAAATGAATTTACTCCTTGCATTTAGCTTGGTCGATATGATTTGAGGAATACAAAACGTTTCATTGTGGCATTGTGGCCCAAACGAATAGGATGTACAGTTTTCTATATTGCATATTACTCTCAGACAGGTGATGTTTTGTTGTTTAAAAAAAATTACATTCCCTTAATCAAACCGTCAGATTTTAAAAACTTACTTCTCACAAGTAATATCAAATCCATGTAAAAAATAAAAAAAGCAAAATGTGCAATTATATTGCAAAAATATAAGAAAAAACGTCAGTCAAGAATAAGTTGTCGATTTTTTTTCACCAAAAAATTCTGTTAGGATTAATTTTGTTTTAATTTAAAGACATTATTTTATCCTTATTGGCTTTACAGATACATGTTTATGTGGACAATGTTCAGTTGGGGGTACTAAGAATACTTACCAAAATAAGGATACAGAAAATCTCAACAGGTATCATTGTTTCTGTGTCAAAGGATTCGCACTTAATCTCTAGCCTTGATCTTCTTCTTCTTTTATAATGAATTGGGACCTTTTACTATGCCTTAATTAGATTGTAATAGATTTTTTGTGGTCTTGCCTTGATTGATAACCGTCAAACAAAGCGTCTTTGATTATGCAAGATTTTCTAGAAGTTCAATATAGACTTCTTTACTTTTTATTTAAAAAGACAGTAATCATTCAACTCTGGCTAGATGATACAGCACGATAAAATGATCTCAACCTTATCAAAAACACATCAGTATTAAAAGTATTTTTTTTACCGCAAGTACATACACGATTAGCAAGATAAATATTATCTAGCGCATTGTTACATGTAAATAATACATGTCAAATACCTGTGTGATGACTTTAATTTTTTTATGCTGGGTATTGGGTAAAAAAAAACATTGAAATTTGTATGAGGCCATTTTAAAAAAGAAAAGTTTCTTTGTTGCTTCTCGAATCAGGAAAAAAGGAAGTATTGTAACAATGTCCGCTTCGTTTTCTTTCAACGATGCACGATATGATAAGATACGCGCACGATTTAATAGCGAAAAACATACCATTTGATAGGAAAACACACAAAAAAATATGGTAAACTCGATACACTCCAGAAAAACGGTTTTTATAATAGGATAACTGCAAATATGGGGGCTATAAAAAAAAACAATTTGTTTTCTGATAACAAATATGTGTACTTTCAAAATTTTGGAAGTAAATTTTAAACTAATTAAAACTAAATTAAATATTTAATGATTAAACAATTGAAAGATCTATGCTTAATTTGTAAAGGAAACTCCCAGATCTTTAATATGAAACTGTAATATATTTATTTCACTTATTAATGATGAACTTCCTATTATTTGTGCATGTGTATAAATTTCGAAATTTACTTTAAAACTTAAATAATCAGTCGTGTTATAACCTAGTTGCTGGATAGAATTTTTTTGAAATTGAGATAGAGATTTAATAGATATTTATAAATAGAGAAATAGAGATTTATTTCTATTTTTCCATGCAAATATATATTGGTCACATACTCTCTTTCCTTAAATAATGTTGAAATTCTACCGTTGATTTTAAAGTTATGAATTTCAAATTAGTGCCCAACACTTTAATACACATGTGAAGGTGAGAGAGAAGAGATTGCTATTAGCTGCTAATTTTATCATTTGTGCACGCGTACTTTTTTTAGCAGTATTGAAGAAATATTGTCCTATTTACGATGAATAAGTATACATGTATCTGAATATGCCAAGCTAAACTATCTAGTTAATGGAACTCCTTAAAGGTTGGTTATCCTGATTAAATTCAGTTTTTTTTTTGTTTTTGATGACTAACAGAAATAGATGGGAATGATTTTTTTTTCTGTCAAAAAGATTCCTCAAATATTTCAAATTAATTAGACCGATGTTCTCAATTACTATAATTAAAAATCAAATAATAGAATTTTTTACGTGTAGTTTTTTCTTAAGTCACAAACCTAAGTGAACTTTTAACACTTGTGTTTTTTTAAATTTGAATTTTCCTTAATTTAAGTGCAAGAGCTAATGCTTTTTCATCCTTTAGATGCCATGCTAAACAAGTTTATATCTTTCAATCTCTTCTATTCAAATTTTGTTGTAATTAAAACTTTGTGAAAAATTGAGACAATGATATTAATACCGAAAGAATTTGATTAAATCATCAAATTCGAGTCCATAATTATGCACACATATTGTATAAGACTTATTATCACAAATTTAACTTTGTTTGATATCACACTATGAATACACGGTAATGCATAACATACAAAAAGAGATTTTGTGCTTGTAGATAAAAAAAGTTCATTCATATTCTTATAAGCGTTTATTCTATATTGTTATATTAAAATAAGTGGCTATTCTTAAAATAACATCCATTCTTCGTCAAAAATCACATTGATATTCTAATACATGTAGTTACTTTTCGATGAGTGCAAATTTGTTAGGAAATGTTTATGGATAAAGTATAAAATTTTATTTTTTGACAATAAACATGAAGTACCGCTTGCTCTGTCTGTGTAATGAACAAATATTTCCTGTAAAATTACATGTAATATAGACGAAGGTTAACTCAGTTCATTTCAAATTGTCAACGTTGTCATAAGACGATTGACGATTGTAAAGGGTGTAAAGAAACTTAAGTTCATTGCACTTTTTTGTGGTATTTCATGTTTTCAGAGTGAATTCTTGCTACTGATTAGGTCTTAACTTTCTTTTGTTGACACTAAGAGGGAACAGGTATTAAAACAGATGATGTCTGGGCAGAAAGCTAGGGATGAAGCAGATTTGTGACATATATTAACCACACATGTCAAAATTTCCTTTCAAATGCTATGCAAAAATTATCAAGTCATTAAAATACTTCAAAATGACAACACTATTCTTTTGAATAAATATCAATCTTTCTTAATTATGTTCATCATATTGTCTGATACAAGAAAAGCTATGAAAAAATAAAAGTAAATTATCCTATATTTTAACTGAAAATGTCCCGCATTTCTGTCACTTGGGAGCTTTAAAGATGTTATTATTTTTCAAATGGAAGAAAAACCTATTTTCTTCCTGCTACAAATGAATTGCTATAAATCTCAAGCACATTCTCCTGATTTTGTCAGACTTGAAAACTCATCTCTTTAGTTAATCGTGACTTTGAATATATTGAAAATATTTCATCATGGAAGGAACTTTCATAGCATCCTTATTGCTGTTTAATCCCCTTTTAAGAATTTTTAACTCGTAAGGGAACGTCACCAAATATCGGTGAAAGGCTTTAAATTTTGAACTTTATTCAGCTTTTAATAAAGGATTAAACGTTCTTTTTCAGAATTTATCGATGTGTAAACTCTGACTTTTTACTCACAAACTGAATAAAAGTGCGAAGCACTTTTATGTTGCAAAGTTGCAGACCGACGACGTCGTCGATTTGGTCTGGTTCGTTCAAACATTTAGGAAGAATATGGGATCTGTAGGATGTAAATATATGGATTTAATGCTGATAAGGCAAGAGTCTGAGGTACGTTTCTTTTCCCTATCACAACGTTACCAACTGAGCTGATATGGCACGTCGAGAAATTGACAGCATGATCAGCGATTTTTTAATTGACACTCGTGATCCGACAGTGACATAAACATAATATTCCCGTCTGTCAGTCTTGTTTATCTCCTTTTTATACATTCATTCATTCATTCATTCATTCATTCATATTTTATTTCAAGTTTCTTGTAATCATATTTTAGCTAAAACAGACTAGAAGTCTCTGTTTTCATTGTTTTAGAACAGTCAAGAAAGTAGTTCTGATTGAAAAAAATTATCGATGCGTAAATTTTTTCTTGAAGTTGTTCTCGTCCAATCAAAAACAGAGAATCAATAAATAAAGTTAAGGTTGGAATTATTGCCATTTATCAATGATGGATTGAAACTGTGCAAACGCCTGCCTTGACACCGGACCTCGGTTCTTAAGGCCTCATCCAAAGGAACCGCAACTCACGACCTTCCTATATATACAGAACAAGCGCTCTTGCGACTGAACTACAGTGACAGTATCATATAAATGACGTTTTTGTCAGTTCATTTCAAATTACTAGTGTTAATATACAAACGAAGGTTTAGTTCATTTCAAATTATCAATATAAACTAGAAACTCTTGTTGCTACAGCAACAAAGAAGGTCTTCCGTTCTCCTCTATTTATCTACATGAATGAGCTTTAATCTATGTTAAAAAGGCATATAATATTTTTAATGATTGTAGGAAAACAAACAGCCGGAGGTGTAACTTACCAAGATTCTTCACTTTACTTTAGACAATTATAGTCTTAATAACATGTACAAAAATCATTTTCAATTTTTTATCACTTCCTGTGACGACCAGAAGGAACGGCGTACGCATTTTACCCTATATTTGTTTTATTCATATAAGTTTAGTGTCTTGATCTGTTACAGTTTAAGAGATCTCGTAATATTATCTTCTCATTTTGAGGACAAATAATCACGTGACCGAAAGTAAATTTTTGAAAAGAGATTTGAGGTTACTCTAGATATTTCAGTCTAAATAACATGTTCTAAAATCATTTCTAATGCTCTTCTTATCAAAAATATTTATGGTATAGTATAATACTAAATTTATGCAGTTTTTCTTCATAATCGGAAGTTGTCCATTTTGTTTCCAGTGGGACTGACATATTTCAAAACTACAAAAAAGATGCTATAATGTATTACTATGAAAGATTCCATAAGAAAACTTTTTATTCATTTGTTCACTTCCTGTGACAACCGGAAGTGACGGTGGACAATCTTTTCCTGACTAGTTTTGCTTACACATCAAGATCTACCACTTGTAAAAGTTTGGTGTCTTAATCTCTTACCGTTTACGAGATCTAGTTATGATAACTTCTCATTTTGAGGACAGGAAATCACGCAACCGGAAGTGAATTTTTAAAGATAGTTGGCGTTACTTAAGACAGTTACAGTCTTAATAACATATCCAAAAATCATTACAAATACTGCATCTATAAAAAATATTTACTGGAAAGAAAAATACTCAAATTATGAAGCTTTTCTCTTATAACCGGAAGTTGTGTTCTTTGTTTTCAGTGTTACTGACTTTTTTCAAAACTACAAATAAGATGCTATTGTGTGATAAAAAAAGTTTCCATAAGGAAAAGTTGAATTTTTGGACTTCTTTGATCACTTCCTGTGACGATCGGAAGTGACGACAGACGATCTTATCCACCATGGAATTGCTCACTCATCAGGATATACCACTTGTCAAAGTTTGGTGTCTTAATCTCTTACTGTTTAAGAGATCTAGCTATAATAATTTCTCATTTTGAGGACAAGAAATCACACGCAACCGGAAGTGAATTTTAAAAAAAAAATAGTTGATGTTAGACATTTGCAGTCTGAATAACATATCCAAAACAGTTGCAAACACTTTATCTATAAAAAAATATATATTGGAAAAAAAATATTCAAATTATTTAGTTTTTCTCTTATAACCGGAAGTTGTCGTTTTTGTTTCCGGTGGAGCTGATATATTTTGAAACTACAAATAAAGTGCTATAATGTGATGCAATAAACGTTCCATAAAAGAAAAGATAAAATTTCCGATTTTTTGACCACTTCCTGTGACGACCGGAAGTGACGCGGACAATCTTAACCCAAATGTTTTTCCCTTTTTGTCAAGATATAATACTCCTAATAGTTTGGTGTCTACATTTCTTACCGTTTCAGAGATATAGCTATAAGAACTATTCACTTTGAGGACAGGAAATCACGCGACCGGAAGTGAATTTTCCAAAGATATTTGACGTTACTGTAGTCATTTGCAGTCTGAATAACACTTCTAAAAATCATTTCGAAAACTTCATCTATAAAAAATATTTATGGGAAAGAAAAATACTGAAAATATGCAGTTTTTCTCTTATAACCGGAAGTTGTCGTTTTTTTTTCCGGTGGGACTGACATATTTCGAAACTACGAGTAAGATGCTATAATCTGATGCTAAGAAACTTTCAAAAAAGAAAAGTTGAAATTTTCGATATTTAAGAACACTTCCTGTGACGACCGGAAGTGACGGCGGACGATCTTAACCCAATTGGATTTGCCTACTTATCAAGATCTATCATCCCTGTAAGTTTGGTGCCTTAATCTCTTACCGTTTCTGAGATCTCACTCGGATTAAATATTTTTGAAAAAAGCGGAAATCGGACATATCTGACGACCGGAAGTGAATTTTTAAAAAATGAAAAAAACGTCTCGAGGTATTTTCATTCTCTATCATCCCTGAAAATTTCAGGAAAATCCGTCCAGCCATCTCTGAGAAATCCTGCCGACAAGATTTGGGGAAAAAAATAATAAGAAGAACTAGAAACTCTTGTTGCTACAGCAACAAAAACGGTCTTCCGTTCTCCTCTATTTATCTGTATGAATTAGCTTTTTAAAAAGGCATATAATATTTATAATGATTACGGGAAAACAAACAGCCGGGGGTGTAACTTGTCGTTTTGTTTCCAGTGGGACTGACATATTTCAAAATTACAAATAAGATGCTATTATGTATTACTTAGAAAGATTCCATGAAGAAAAGTTGAATTTTTTAATTTATTTGATCACTTCCTGTGACAACCGGAAGTGACGGCAGACAATGTTAACCCAAGTGGATTTTCCTACTAATCAGGATCTACCACTCCTTCAAGTTTGGTGTCCTAATCTCTTTTAATCCGTTTAAGAGATGTAGCTATGAAAACTTCTCATATTAAGGACTGGAAATCACGCGACAGGAAGTGAAATTTAAAAAGATATTTGAAGTTACTGTAGACATTTGCAGTTTAAATAACATATCCAAAAATCATTACAAATACATTATCTATTGAAAGTATTTATGGGAAAGAAAAATACTCAAATTATGTAGTTTTTCTCTTATAACCGGAAGTTGTCGGGGTTTTTTTTCGATGAGACTGACATATTTCGAAACTACGTATAAGATGCTATAATGTGATGCCAAAAAAATTCATAAAAGAAAAGTTGAAAAATTCGATCTCTCAGATCACTTCCTGTGACGACCGGAAGTGACGGCGGAGAATCTTAACCCAAATGGTTTTGCCTACTCATCAAGATCTATCAGTCCTATAAGTTTGATGTCTTAATCTCTTATCGTTTACGAGATCTCTCTATGATAACTTCTCATTTTGAGGACAGGAAATCACGCGACCGGAAGTGAATTTTAAAAAGATATTTGACGTTACTGTAGACATTTGTAGTTTGAATATCATATCCAAAAATCATTCCAAATACTTTATCTATAAAAAATATTTATGGGAAAGAAAAATACTCAAATTACGTAGTTTTTCTCTTATAACCGGAAGTTGTCATTTTTGTTTCCGGTGGGACTGACATATTTCAACACTACAATTAAGGTGCTATAATGTGATGCAAAAAAAGTTTCAAAAAAGAAAAGTTGAAATTTTCGATATTTATGAACACTTCCTGTGACGACCGGAAGTGACGGCGGACAATCTTAACCCAAATGGATTTGCCTACTTATCAAGATCTATCATCCCTGTAAGTTTGGTGCCTTAATCTATTACCGTTTCAGAGATCTCACTCGGATTAAATATTTTTGAAAAAAGCGGAAATCGGACATATCTGACGACCGGAAGTGAATTTTGAAAAAATGAAAAAAACGTCTCGGGGTATTTTCATTCTCTATCATCTCTGAAAATTTCAGGAAAATCTGTCCAGCCATCTCTGAGAAATCCTGCCGACAAGATTTGGGAAAAAAAATAATAATAATAAGAAAAAACAGTAGAATCACTATAAGGTCTTCCGTCTGAAACGGAAGACCTTAATAAGAAAAAACAGTAGAATCACTATAAGGTCTTCCGTCTGAAACGGAAGACCTTAATAAAATATTTATCTTCAATCGGTCTTATCCTTCAAAAATCCTATGAATTCATTAGCTAAACGGTACATTACGTTGTCAAATACAATATAAAAACGCATATGCCCAAAAATTGGAATGAAACATGTCAGCAACAAAATAACGACAAAATGGTTAGTATTTTTACAAATTATATCATAATAATGACAATTTACGATTTTTCAAAATGCTGCTTTTCAACAACTTTATTGAAATCATGTGCAGTTCATTCTAAACCTCTCAATATTTTCGTGAACAACTCAGACGGTCATATAAATAAATTATGAAAAACAACAGAAGATATTTTACGCATTACATTTATTAAAGCATCAAAATCAAGTCTATATAATTATGAAAACACAATATGATAGAATGATGTGATTTTTCATAAATAAAATTTGATGTTTCAGGAATGAATCTACACCAGTGCATAACATAAAAAATCTAATTCTCAACGTTGTTAACTTCCTTTTAAAAGATTGGCAAATTGAAGGCTTTGCTTCTGCGGAATAGACATTCTGTGTTGTAAAAACCAATTTTTCTGGAAAGAGAAAGATAATATAGACCAATTTATTTGAATCATCAGGAGAGAGAGAGAGAGGGAGAGGGGAATTTGGTTATGTAAAAAAATCATTAGCGATTTCTATTTTTGCAAAAGTTAAACTTTTAATGCTTTTATTCACATCCATTTTATCTAACACCAATATCTAAAAGTTATCTGAAAGTTACTTTTGTATAAGAGAGAACCTTGTTAAAAAATCAAACATGTATAGATTATATGATAAAAAATTTAAAACTGCACAGCACTTTTTCCTGTTTTGTTTTTATGTATGAGGTGATCGCATGCCATATTGTAATTTGTTTGTCAGTGTTGGTTTTTACATGAAGGTTGGGTCAGTGTGGGATATACATTGCACATGTATAATTGCAAAATATAACAAAAAACTACTTGCCCCTGAGGAAGAAAAAGAGGAATGGATCCAACTAGATAATATCCGGGGTTAGTTGGAGACGGGTATTTTGGATCCTCCACTCGAAAATACTGAACGCATTCTTTCGGGTTATAGGTGACACCTAGTGCTGCAATAGAAATGAGCAGAAATGACCTAGAGCTGTGTAGAGTTAAAAAAAATAATGAATACATTCATAAGTATGTAAAAAAATATATTAAATTAAACAAAGAACAAAAGGATCCCTTAGTTGAATAAATCTGAATTGGAAAAAGAAAGTACAAATTTATTCATCTTCTATTTAATTTGAGAGACCTTTATTTATATATAAAATTGATGTCAGTTATTGAGCGTTTGCTCTTTAGTGGGAGATTTAAGTTTAGTCCTTATGACGTCAAGAATTCGAATTCAACTGCAGGACGAAATCGGTCCTCTGCATGAAACTTGCTCAATTGCCCTGAATACCGATTTTAGAACTGAATTTGCAGTCCTTCTCCGACAAGTGAAAGGGCCTCAAATAAGAATTATGGAAGGGACGTTCACAACGCAAACAATCAATTAACATTTACATGTAATTTATTAAATCAACCGAATATATTTCCTGAAAAGACAACTCTACGACAAACAGAATGTTGGTTTCAAATTTAGATTGAATCATTCTTAACACATTATATTTTTGATTACCATCAGAGTTCTTACCCCATAATATCGCTGAATCAATCTTTTCTATCCGCAAGCAAATTTCTTGTACATCTTTTTTGTTTGAGTGGGAATGCATTAAACGTTTATCTAAAATTAGATTTTTGTTTTTGGGGAAAAAGTTCGGCAAAAATGTGTACCGTGTGAATAGTGTAAATAAAATCAGTGAGGGATCTTTTTTGTGCCAACACTTAATGCAACACGGGACCTTGGTTTATACAATCTCATCCGAAAAGACCGGTCTCTACGTCCCACAGTGGGATTCGAACCGGTGACATACAGGTAAGGATCCACTCCTTACACCGCCACTCTAGAGCAGACGCTCTAACCGCTACGCAATGTCTAACTTTAAGTAAATTCAGTAACTATATATTATATGCTGTAATGGTAAAGATCAGAAAGTGATACGTATAGAGGCTAACTCTAAGTAAATTCATTACTATATCACAACACAATGTACGAAAATTTAATTAAATCTTTTTTTTTCAAATGACGGAGTTTTATTTTTCTCATAAAGTATAAACTTATATAAATGTATACATATATATATATAGAATATATATAAAAAAGTATATCATTTGAATATAGGATTACAAGGATACCTTTACAACACTTTACTGCCACATCTCCGTATCTATTCCTAGGAACTGCCGAGTATCCACTAACAAAACCATTGTTCGGGCATTGGTAAGGACGAGGTAAAAAGATATTAATATCTAATGGTAGAATATTAATAAATTTAGTTATGAAATAAATAAGTACTTTGCACTTGTATACTGATAATATTCAACACTTGAACATTTAACATTGTGTCGTATTGAAAAATATGTGTTTTAAGTATTCAAAATTTTCTGTTCGGTAATTTTTCGCTTAATCTCATCAGTATAATTTCTACAGATTAAATATAACGTAATGCGAATAGTTACTTATCATTATACACTCTTCGATGGGCCCCAGTGGCGGATCACAATTTGGAATGGATACTCCAAAACAAGGTCGGAATGAAACTGGGCTGCCATTAGCGCAATAGTTGTCCTTATCAAAATGTTGAGAGAAAGTTACACCTGTATGTATATGAAAAAGAAATAAATTAAATACTGTAAATCTACAAGCTCTTTTTTTCTCATGAATGTCGAAGATTTAGGTAGGAAAAATAAATAAATTTATAGAAATGATGCAACCATTTCCTACACAAAATCGCATGTACGTCAGGAACTTCTGTGAAACCGAAGCCTACCATAATATTTATTTTTTCCAAAGGGAATTGTTATATATTGAATCAAGAAAGTGAAAATGAACAGTGATTTGTACATGTACAATATGTATCACGTTCTGTATATAGCCCTTATGTGAGATCTAAAATTTAGGCGCCAATTGGCTCTTAACCAAAAATATTTCGTCGCCAATCCAAATGTTTAGTCGGCAAGTAAATTTTTGTTAAGCGTTAATTTAAAAACTAATATTAGTCAATATATAGAGACATGTCCATTCCTAAGTTTTAAACTTCGTTTCTGCTCCTTATAAAGAATTTTTTTTTAAATTTCTGTAATATGACGATCACCAAGTCAATTCTAAATGATCGCCAATTTGACGACTTTCAGAAAAATTGTAGGGGCCTATCACAATTTTTAGGCGCCATAGCGACTAAATTAGTTGCAAATTAGAGCCCTGGTTTAGCCTTTAACACCGTGTAAAATGCTAAAGAAAACATATCTTTTTAAAAATTCTGTTCAGGCATTTGTGACCTGGTTACCTTTTATATCAGGTTTAGACATTCCCTTTTTAGCAAAAAAAAAAAAAAAAAGAAAGAAAAAAGAAAGAAAGAAAGAAAGACATTTTTTGGAAAAACTTACAAATGATATGGGAATGATTAACATTTGATTAAGGCGTCTGAGGATTTAAGAATGACGGGTAATGCTTTCGAAAAATCTTTTTTTTTTGTCAAGTATATATATAGTATCTACAAACATAGCTTAATAAAAATATCAAAACAAAACGTTGGGTAAATCTGTTTCTTTTTACGCTTGGGTACATGTTATATGACCTTTCTGTCATGAGATCGGGTTTTAAATGATAAAAAATAATTTTTTTATCAAATAAATCCTTGAATCGAATATACTCTGATCATAGAGACTCGTCAAAAATCAACTTGTGAACTTTGGAAAGTGTAATTTTGCTCACATTAAAGATTTACCATGCAAAGAAAAATATGTTAGACTTTTAAACTTTTGCTCTATTTAAGCAGAATGATTAAATGTATGCTGAATATTCTGGAAAGAAAATGACAAGAGGGCATCTATGATACAGATTTATAGGTACAAGTATTCCCAAAAGAAAAATATATAACTGGCCTTCTTTATACTGAATGTTTAAATTTTTTGCTGTATTTTCACAATATGATGGTGGAGTTCATGAAATTTAATTGTATAAATACTTTACTTCCAGCATAAAACATGTCCTGCACAAAATAATTCTTGTGTAACATGCCAGTAAAAATGGGAATTCAATTTTAAAGTTACCCTACAAATTTCAAAAGAAAATGTTTTCTTTAAAACAAAAAACTGCCGCCACTAAATATAGTTCCTCATTTCATGCCTTTTTTACGAAATTTAATGCGAATCAAACTTATGCAGAAGCAGATCCATTTGACATAATGGAAAGTGTCTGTATACATATTTTAATGATTAACAAAATTTTCCTTAATTTTCCACTCAAAAATAGCATAAGTACCTATAGCTGACCACCGACAAGTGGAATTTGACTAAATTTTGCTATTACGCATGCGTCAGAATTTAATTCGAATTAGCTTCGCTTAGCGTTCACACGGAGCTAATGCGAAGTAATTTAATGCGCAGTAAACTAATTCGAATTAAACTAACTCGCATTAAATTCTCCGTGTGAACGCTAAGCGAAGCTAATTCGCAGTAACTTTACGTTTTAATCGAATTAAACTCTCCGTGTTAACAGGGCATAAATCGCCTTTTCTCAAGGGTATACACTTAATAGATCTAAATCATTTTTTGAAAAGTTAGTTTCCTTAGTTTGAAAAGTGCTGCAGCTTTCCGGAAATATTTAATAAATGCTTTGAATAATGATAAAGGTCACACAGATTTCAACTTGAGCTTCATTTCTCGAAATTTATACTTATAAAATGCTAATTTGAACTCTTAATAAAGCACAGCACTTGTCCGAATGTACTAAGCATAAATATATATGAGCCGTTCCAAGCAAAAACCCCCCTTATAGCAAAAATTTTCGAAAATGACTTTTTTCTTGAAAAATGATGTAGAACCTTAGTTGAATATAACCTGTAAATATTACAGGTGTATCTTGCTCCGTTACGGATTTACAGTTATTCAAAGTATGCATCATTTATACGACTGACGTAATATTTTAAAACGTTTCTCTTGTAGCAACGTCGACGTTATAACGACGTAATAAAAACATGAATTACTTATACGCAATAACTTGTTCTAAGTAAAAACCCCCCTTATGTGATTTTTTTTCAAAAATCATTTTTTTTTTATGTTTATTGAATGAATACACTGTAAACATTATTTTCTAAAAAAAATATGAATATCATACGATCATTTGTTTTTATTTTATACGCCATGAAAAACAATAACTTTTGTTCATTTTAATTTTGATTTCATTTTATTTTTTATAACGTGGCCAAGAGGCTTTCACTCTTCTGGAGCGGGGCAGGTCTGGTCTTGGGCGGATGGTCGCACAAGATGCCTGACAAAACGGTACAGGTATCTCTGCCTCTCCTCCGTGATACCACCAGTGGCTAACTCAGCGGGTAAATCCTCTAAAGTTGATGCGGGTGCCCCTGGTATAAGAAGATTCACCTTGTTTTCTTCTGAATCGGCGCGTCGTTTCACAAATACACATCCCGGAGCATGGGTGCTGAATCGAAAGTGTTGATACTGCTGGATTCCCTTACAAACATAAAGCAATGAATAAAAATAAATGACAATTTTAAAATTATTTTTATTACACTTGAAATTTTGGTTGGCTTTAATTAAAGCTTAAAAAGTTTGTAAAATTTTCACCTGTAACTCGCTTAACTTTTATAAAAATGAAAGAATACCTTAAGTGCTCTAAATCGCAGCGATAAGTAACTTTTCCAGTCCCTCCATACCCAAGAATCTTCTGCTGAGTATTTAACAACTGTGTTTGACTTAGAGGATTGCTCTATTACTCTGGCAATATCTTCTTTTGTGTCACAATCTGATCGTCGGTAGAGTTTTTTTATTTGTCCAAAACCAGCGTCAACCAGGCATCTTAATGAAAATATAATAGTTTATGTTATTGTGCTATCATATCTATATATAAACATGTAGATGTTGTTTAGTGTTTAGTACCATTATGTTATTTTCTTAACAAAACAGGTCTCAATCTTAATACATATGATAAAAAAAATATAAAGGATAGAACTTTACCTTGTGTGACCCGGTATTTGAAGCATGAAACTGATGTTCTTGTGCAGTCCTACCAAGACCCGCCAACAGAAGTAACCTATGACAAATCTGTTTTTGTTTTGGCCTATTTAAAGATATAAATAAACAGAATTTTAAACCTAATATCAATAATTATTAATTGTCAGTTATTTAAAGGCAATTTAATAAATGTTTACCTCCACAGTTGTTTGCATGAAGGATGCAATTTACTTCACCCAGTCCATAAGTTTGAAAAGCGTGGTGAATCATGGAAATAACTGAATTCGGTCCGTGAGCCAATGAACCATCAGTCCCTTCAAAATGTAAACATGTGTCTTATTAAAAGAGTTCAGAAAGGACCAGAGAAAAATATTGCATTAACTTTTTAAACGATAATAAATGCATGTTAAGGCAGGTTTCATAATTTACCAATTGTTTCATCTTCATCCATCATGTAATTCAGCTGTTTAGAGAGTCCATCAAGTCGTACCCCGAAGAGATGTATTTTTCTTGGTGTTGTAAAGTAGAGTTGTCCAATTTGTCTGGCATGATGTGGCAATATAAGAGACTGTGCGAAATCGAATGTATAATGCACCTTCAAAAAGTTTGAAGCTTGATGTTGGATTGGTCCATCTGGGCGGACGTAGCCTTCCAATTCTTCCTTGGATTTATGGACGCACTCTTTATAAACCTCTCTTTCGCTTCTGGCTTCTTCAATATGTGCAAGGTATACCCGTGTTGCCTCCACTTTCTCCTCTTCTGATCTGGCATCTTCCACGGCTTTCCTGTGAGACTCGCACTTAAAACAAACATCATCTTTTGGAGTGCTTACTCTTATGTGCGGCAGAAGTTTCTTCCAAAGATCATAAAATACTGAACTACCCACAAATTTGTCCGGTGAAGCGCTTTTGTAGACCTCATACACATGTTTCTTTGTATGTGAAGCGGGCAGGTATATGGGTGGGTCTTCATCTCTTCCTCTAGGGGCGGCAGGTTGGGGGAGACAATAGTCATCTGCATAAGTGGTAATAAAGGACTTTACTCGTTTATATTCTTCAAAATCGAAGGAATTGGGCTCATAGCTCTTCTGCCGGAATTCCCATGAGTACGAGGAGTGATTCCGTTAGTAACGACATGTTTTGCAATGTTTTTTAGCATTTCTTCTCCAATATCGTAAATAATCCGGAAGGCAGCAACACATACATCAGTTCCATTGAAGCAATAACAAAAGCGATGTCGCTTGATATCATCTTGATTTTTCTTCATCGTTGATCCATTGACCTTGATGGCCCCCATGATATGCATGTCCTTCTCTGACTTAGAGAGTTCCCTGACATTCAGAATATGTTCTATCACCAACTTTCTTTCTAATTGTTCTAAACATTTTTTCGAACATGGACATCCTAACGCTAATTTCTCAAAATCTTCTGCTGATAAACTTTCCGATAAAATTTCTGGATTTAAATCATCATCGGAATCAGTGTTATTTAATACTGCATTATTTACATCTGTATTGACAAGGAAAGACGATTTTCCAAAATGCTCTTCAATTAACTCGTTTAATTCCTGTAGCAAAGAAGTTTTAAAATTATATTAAAATTAATAGACCTCAGGTTTTTAGTCAGTATCATTTTTTTCAAAAAAATTTTTTTTTGATAAGTATCAAGTACATTTTGAAAATATTGCTTAATCATTTTAAAGGAGAAATGGTACATTATATTACAATTTTCCCTTTTGTTATGCATGATAAAATTTGATATTCCAATTCTTAAGAAAAAAGGCAACGTGTCAACTTAGATTTTGTAATATGTTTTTTTTTTAAATCCTTAAATATGCCCTCTTTCTAAATATAAAATAATTATAAAATCTTTTTGTTATTTAAAACTGATATTTATTGAAAAATAATACAAATTTACATTACAAAATTTAGTATTTTTCAAGCAAGACCAGTTCACAAATAAACAAAAAATATTCAAATATGTATATTTATAAAATAAAAATAAAAACTACATCAATTAAAATAAAAAAAAAATCTACTTACACAATAAAATTTTTTATCATATAATCAAAATTCAAAGTTATTGAAATTGAAAATCATACTGAGTCGATTTCGATCAGATAACCATTAAACTCTTCGGGATATGTGTGACCGTAGTCTACAATTTTTACCTAGTACGGTTCACCATACAAAATCACAGCAAATTATTTTTAGATATTGTAAACAAAGGCTTCGTACAGCAGTTACGTTAAACAGATGTAAATAATATGTTTTACCACCCTTTATCGTACTTAAATTCTTTGTTTTATAAGGACATGTTTCCATTTTTTTCAAATTTATTCCGAAAATGTCATGTTAAATGTGTTGAGCATACATGTCTCATGTAAACTGACATTGTTTGTAAGAACAGATGAACTTACGCATCGTATAACCATGATACATTATTTTTTGTGGCTTAACTTTAAGATTGCTTCTTGGAGAAAGAAAATTATTACATGTAATTGCAATTCTTGTGTATAATGTAAATCTAAACTAAACAAAGTCTATCGCTGATTTCTACGCGATACAGTCAATGTTACGTACTGAGACTACTGACTAAATTCTTGCAAGTATGGTGAGTAGGCGGTGACATGGAAGATACGCCCGGTTTGCCGAGTATTTTAAATAGACAAATATAGTTCTAAATACAAAGTTCCACTTAAAAATACATGTATAATAAAACTTCCACTGTATATCACATTACCTGAAATTCGTCCATTACATGTAGCTGATTTTTCTCTTGGAACTGCTAGTGTTTACTTCTTGCTTGTAGTCTGCAAGCGTTTTATTTTTCCCGAAAAAATTACGTTACGTTTTTGCATTGTGATGTAAAATATAGTTTAACGTCATAAGGGGGGTTTTTGCTTGGAACGGCTCATATAATAGTTTAGTTTTATTCGCTAAGATGTTGTATCAATATTCTATTATCTCAAGAGTTTTTTTTTTATTTTTATATCAACAATTATTCACTTTTTGGTTTGATTATGGGGTTCCCTATATAAAACAAATGAACAATTTTTAAAAAAAAATAAAATATATTTTTATTTGAAAGAAAATAACTTCTTTACGCGACGTAATTCTGGAAACATTTAGCAAACGAAAATTAACATTTGACATTCCTTTTCCATTCGTTAAGAACATAATTAAACTGTGAGAAATATGATTTTTTTTATAATGAAGTTAGATAAAGGGTATTTAGAAACTGAAGAAAAAATGAGGAGATATAAGCTCTATTGGACTGTTATTGGGAGCGCTGGCTGTTGAAGTTGCCAATCTTACTGATGAACAATTCAGAAAGGTTATCTTTCAAGTTATAGAGTGAGAAGAAATTCATTAAGATTTCGAGAGATGATATTGGTTCCAAAAAAGTGCATTCCTGCTGAAAGCATTTAAAGAATAGGTCAGGTGCGAAATGGCTCCATTACCGTTGATGAATATAAAATAGCAGATACATACAACAAAAATAAAACAGATTCCTAAAACCCGGCAACACTACATCAATGTAGCCTGATGAAACTATGCTTGTTCTGATATTTTTATCTTTATTATTTTTTTTATCTATCACACACTCTCTTGCAATCGAAACTAAGCGTGTGGTTGTATCATTTAGAGAGTACAGCATATCTTAATGTATTGTCTGCTGTTCTTTTTCTCTTCATTCGTAGTTTTATCTAATTAAACTGCAACAAAAACCACCGCCTGAATTCAATTACAATCATTCGAGTACAAAAGTATGTATTCTAAAGATAAAAAGGCTTTATTTCATCCAATCACTATATCACATGAACAATATCGGAATTCATTTGAAGCAAAATTTACTCAAAAAGTTTTATATAAGAAGAAGGGAGTGGTTGATGCTTCCTTCAGTCGGATATTTAGGTAACCCGGCTAAGTATTATCAATTAACAGTAGTTACTTCTATTAATGTGTTTACTCTATATATTCCAAGATAAAATGACAAAAAATATACCACAGATTCGAAAACTTGTTTTATAATCGAATTGTCAACAGAAACAGACCTTTATGTTTATCTAATAACAAAAGTTTATTATAATGCAAACATTAGAATTATGTTTGTTTGCCATCTCCCCACTCTGGATTTAAAGCTTGAGGCGGTAGTTTAGAAACACATCGTCAGAAAAATTAAGTAATCTCTACCAGGCGTTAGAAACGTTTTGATTCCGGCCGTTTAATGCAGTAGGTCGGGATAATACAACAAAACAATTTGTGTATTTAACTATGGCCTTTCACTGAACTTTTGTCAACTTTCCTTTACTGTGTAGCAATATACTATATTTACCTGAAGAAAGGGTGTATGTCTTTCGCTTGAGTGCATAAGCGAGAGGATTCCTACATAATATCTGAATGGGAAGCAAACAGAAGCAATCTTTTGCCAAACAAATTGACGAAGCAAGATTATGAGACTTGTTGAAAGTCGTCATATTGGGAGTTCTTTAGTCCGTTATTTATACACTGAATTGACGACGGGGTTTTTTCCCCGTCATTTCCTGAATATGACAACGAGCACAAGGCGGGTGTGACCGGTCGGCAGGGGATGCTCAATCCTCCATGGCACCTGATCCCACCTCTGATGTTTCGGAGGTCCGTGTTTGCTCTGCTCTTATTTTGTATATTGGTTAATGGACTTTTAGATTGAATACTGTTCGTTATCTCCATGTCCTTCTTGGTTGATAAAATGTCCTTGTCAGGAAAAATAATCTATCATTGAATCAAAACTGAGATATGGTTTTATACTAATTCTTAAGTCATTAATTTCAGTCTGATGTGCACAGGGATTTTCCAAATTAATCAGGAGCACACAGATTCTCTGGTCGACACACGGACCTTGTCAGCAAAACCAATCTATCATTTTGTGAAAACTGACAATTTTTCTCATGATTATTTTATGCCATCATTTTCACTCTGAAATTCTTAGGAATTTTCAAAACATTACGAGGAGAACACGGTGACTTAAAAATGTCCATATGGAATCCTTGCTTGTTGTACGTCTCACTATTTTAATTGTATTTTGGAAGAATTTGAATTTAGTTCAAACTCTTTCAAAGGAAGATCTTCGCAACATTAAATTTCATTGTTTCTCTATTTTAATCAACTGGAAACTAATTGTTAGAAGAGTTCGATCTTCGCTTTGTTAAATTCATGGATTCCTAATTTTCATTTAAAAATCTTACAAAGATTTATTACTGATTGCGAGAAATGCTGTATTCTTCTCTCCTTACAACCAACAATAGGGGTTGTCAAGGAGGAACTTTAGTCCAACAGTGTCACAGCATTAAGCATAGAAGCATAGAAGTGGATCATTAAGAGCAGAAGAACTTTCAAATTTCTTCAAAAGTCTCTATTATCAACTCTGACTTTTACATTTTTTAATTAATTCCTCAAAATAAATAAAAATCAAGACTTTTTGATATGATGAACCACAGCTGCATCAATAAAAGCGGAACCTTGAGATAAGTCATCAGTAGCACTGCTTTGTTAAAAGGACTCTAATCATTCAGACAGGTACTCTGAAGTTGAATATAAAAAGATGAGGCATTCTTCACTAACATTAGAAGTCTTCGGAGATCAAGTTCTTTCTCATGAAATGGTTCGAACTCTAAATGGTACTTGTTGTGTTTCTTTATAAGCGCGCCATTTTTATGCAAGTTTAAAGTAGAATTTATTTAAAAACGTCTGTAGGACAAGAGAAAAAAAAAAAAACTCTTGCTGTGGCTTAAATTCAAAATTCACATATTCTGGTTATCGACGATGTTTGAATTTATTTATAATAGTGGATTATAGAAAGGTTTATTCTTATCTCGACTCGATTTATCCCAGTCGTCAACTCATTTCATTTGCTCTTATTTTGTATATTGTTGAATGTACATTGAGATTGAATACTGTTCGTTATCTCCATATCCTTCTTCAGACGAATGAAATATCAAGTCTCGATCGGACTCGAACCCAGGGACCTGGTGTACCATGCAAGCGCTCCAACCACTGAGTTTTTCAGACCTTGTATATTTACTGGCTTTGACGTATCTTTGAACTTTGAACTTGTGACATTAAAATTAAAGATATTAGAGAGAGATTTTGCCAAGCTTACTCCTTTCTGACTACAAAGGATAAGGGCAATTTAACAACTAAGTGATATGAGCTTGTTCTGAGAAATAATAATTTTTAAAGCGAGGTTTCTCACTAAAAAGTTGAACATTGTCTACTAGATCTACACAGAGGGCTGACGGTGCATATCACTCATCAACAGGGGATGGTTTCTTATCTAATGTTCCTTTGAACATACAGGGTTCCTTGTTTGATTGCTCTTCATGGTTTTCATTCTGATATGTTGGGATTTTTCTGAAAATTAATCATTGTTTGATAACATCACCCTTTATCTTGTTACTTGAGCCCACACCTAATGTTTATAGTGATCCATATTCACTCTGCTCTATATTTCTCTTGTTTCAATGCACTTCTGAACTTCCTTAGGCTTCGTTATCTTATCAATTTGAGAACTTGCATTACAGACCTAGCCCGTTATCCATAGATGACCCCACATTACCAACTATCGTGGATGATCCACTTACTTTATAAATATGTGTGAAATAAAATTGTTTAATATAGATTTAAAAATATCTAAAAGATTCTAAATACAGAGGGCCTTACGTGGTACATGTAATTAGTGCCCACCCACTGACGTCACACACAAACATAGCAGGACCAAAACAGCCGCATGTTACTGGGAAAAAGTCAGTTTGACAGTTGAAGTAAATGAACTTAATATCAATAATATTAACTTGTCACAGAGCGGTAGAATACACAGAAGGAACTACATTAGAGTAAATGTAATTTCAGTATTTAGGAATATCAAAATGTATATTTGTTTTGACTCAATTTCATTTTAAAAAAAACTACCCTTGTAAAATTAACATAAAATACGGCGAAAGTGCATTAAAAACTTATTTGTCATTTTATTTCCCCGCAATGTTTATTTGCGTTATTTAACTTTCCGACGTCACAAACGGCTTTTCAACGTTACGACCGGCTATTACGTTTATCAAGCACGTCAATACCGAAGGGCGCTAAATTCGCATTAAATATGAATGAAATAAACAATAATGATTCATTATAACGCGCGGTATTCAATTTGTCGGCACGGCCAGGTGTGTTATAGGACCGAAGACATCCCAAAATATGAATTCAATGCTTAAACAAACACATTTTATTTCAGTATGATGACATTGCGATGACATAAGATTATCCGTTTTATATCTAAATTTGAGGGAAAAAAAACAATTAAATTGAGGAACGCTTTAATAAATGTTTAAATGATAATATGTGTAATTAAAACAATTTGTTTATAATTATTAAACGAAAATAAATATTTATTAAAAAGGATTCTCAATCATTTTCAAGTAATATGTACAATATTCTTAATATAATTATAAAACATGCATAGACTTACATGCATCACAAATAAACCCAACTGAAAACGGTATATACATGAAGAAAGCATATTAAATTTAACAGTGTTCTACAATAATTCTTAAAAGATTCAAGAACATTCACTTCTTCCTAAAATGTCAAATCATGTGGAAGAGAGTTTATTCTTAACAATGTTGCTTTCTGAAGTTCGTGCAATGATATTTGTTGTAGGGAATATCGATAAGACCGGAGAGATCCCGAATAGTCACCACAGATTTGTTGACAGATTCCGAGTATTTGCCAAGAAATATCTCTGAGGTCAAGAGGTACATAAACCCCGTCATCATAGAGAAGCAGAGTCTGTAGATCCTGTAGAGATTGTTGTGACGTCACTGTGTCACCCAGTCTGTGGTGATTCAGTATAAACAACATGCGTAACATCACTAGAGGTGGGATTTGTAATAAAGTCACACCATGCTTCTTACTCATTCCCTGTTCTAGCACTAATTCATCAATGTAACTGTACTGATTACAAATGACAATATCTTGCAATATTACTCTTCTCATCTTAGTACCAAGGGTATTCCTTTCCATGCAGTGCCTGTACATTTCTACATTAACATGATTATCATACATAACATACGGCAATAACATGCTAGCCTGTGCTTTATGTAAACAACTGAGTGAGTCTTCATACCTACGTGTTCTGTAGAAGTACATAGCAAGATACAGAATGTCAGATAAACAACCAAACCTACACGAATGTTTTAGCAATGAAGTTACTTTTGTCATATAGAAAACCTTATTCCGGGTTTCATTTTGATTAATTCTACACTGTAAGAACATGGCAGTACACCGTACCACCTCTGATGTGATACATTATAAAGAGACTTTTTTATAGGATTTAACCCTTATCCCGATCATATTCTATATCTGTTTCATGTAAACTGCAAATTCCTCAAAACGACTAATTGCTTGATTAAATGTAGATAATTCTGTAAATAAGCTTATATCTAATTCAGTGGTAGATATAATACTGTTCTCGTCTGTCTGGACTCTCAATGTTTTGTTTAATATAGCAATACTGAGGTGATGTCGGATTGTTTCACTCATTAGTAAGCATGATATCCCCTTACTATACAAATCATACAACTGACAGAACAGTGAGGTTTGCACAGAACCAGTGACTTTCATTCTAAACATGTTGTTTTGTGGAATAAAAAAGTTTGGACATTCCCCAGTATATACCATGTATATCAATAATTTAAAGCTTTCCCAGAAACAAGTCAATAAGTTATCAGGTGTCCAGGACAAAGACGTATTCTTCTGTATGACCCAAAAGACAATAGTTTTTATGAAATAAGAGCAGAGACCGGACGTATTAGGCTGACAATTAATTACTTTCAGAAAAATTTTGAAGAGACCATAACACAAAAACTGACAATGATTCATTGAATAAAGCTTGAGAGAATGAAATTCTCCATTCTAGTTTGTTTTCAGGTGTGCTTCCGATCGGAACAACATGAAATCCTCCGCTTAATATTTCTGATACAACTGTTTGATTCGGCCATCCCCGTTGACGGCATCTCTCTATCCACGGTAGTGCTGACGTTGGCCAGTCATGTGACTTGAAACAGAAAGCACCGTCAGTTTCTAAAGCTTGGAGTATGGAATAGGAAGAACAAGGTCCATGAGGGACAGCAGTACGAATACCATAGGTATTTAAGGATCGCAAATAGTTTTCTCTGAATATTGTACTTGAAATATATATATTGTCATTCATTACTACACAGGACGAAACGGTTTCTGCATTATTGGATTGGCTTAACAGGCTAAGTCTGGTAAAACCAGGTGGTAGATCATCACACTCCATCAGAATCACAGTGTGTTGTGGATTACGGTAGAGACTGACCCGGGAAAGATCACATATCACCTTGTGGTCTGGAGGCCATAACATCCAATCCTCATCAGAAGTCCTCAGTCTGAATCCTTCACGTCTACTCCCACTCTGTATTCTGTCAAGTCTGCTCATGATGTACACAGGTTTTCTCACTGCCTCCTCAGTGTCCATCACTTCTCTCCTTATCCTCACTTCTGTAGGAGTCCCTACTTCATACATAGTCCTACGTACATCACTTCTGATAGGCGAGCTAAGTGATTCATCCCGATATATTATGAGAATCAAAAGGTGCACGTCTGAAAATTAAATGATTTCATGCATAATTTTTGTCCTTTTAATTTCTTCAATATATAGAAAAGGTGCTTATCTATGAATCATTGTTTTAATTGGCGTTTTGTTTTGTTTTCACTATGCAATATATGGAGATAACAAAGGGCTCAAAAAATGGAATGTTATCAATCTTTGTAACAGATACGAACACATTACTTTAATGAATAAACCTTATTATATTTTATATTGAGATAGAATAAAATATTATAAAATAATATATCTAAGCTTTAGTTTTGTAAACACTCTATAATCAGTTAATAAAACAAACAATGAGCACAATACGAACAGTTGACAAAATCAACAGAAGCACGTAGATTAAGTGACAGGGTAATGGTAGGCATACATGATTTATTAGGAGATATCGAACAATATTATTTAAGGAATGCATGCACTGAGGTTGTGAAAAACCTATTTGTCATCTCCCTCGGGAGATGACACATTAAGATTGTATGCCGGAAGTAAAGTCCTAGTCTAAGCCTCCATAAATTTTTCGGGAATACTTAATGTTTTACAATATCTCAAGTGAGAATCTACACAAGGAGTTCCAAGTAGCCTGTAAACTGGTTTTCTTTTAGAAGAACTAGCTTAGAAGTGTGTGATCTACTTTCGGTTTAGGCCTATTTGCCTTGAAAGCCAGGGAAAATTTAGAAAAGAGTACGATGCTTATAAATATCTAAAGTTTTGGTGTGTCGTATATATATTGATCCTCAATACTATGCCTTATTAAATTGGTAAGCCCCACAAGGAGAACTGACAATGACGTGATTTCTATATATAGATTTGTAGTTGTATCCATCGTTAAATTACTGCGTGGAACCTTGCCCCTCATTTTTCATAAAAGTGATCAAAACGTAGGTATAGGTGGCTTCTTTTGAAAGGTTTAAAAACTGGTACTTAAGCTACTTGGGTCTAGGAATAATATTTGGACTGCTCTTGCTTATGTTAAAATACCTGTCAGATTAGTTTTCTGTTTGCTGAATCAGTCATTCGGGAACTTCAGGTATAATAATCTATATATTCATTGCATTAAAATTTTTCCCTTTCTGTTTTATTTCTTTGACATTATTGATACCAAAGAGATGACATTTCAGGCTTTCTGGAAAACCAAACTTGTTCATCTTTTAAATCTGTCAATTAGTAGACTAATATCTTTACAAATTTGTAATAAAACACTACCTACCGGTACCTGTTTCCTAAACGTCCTGATAAGATATCTTTTATCAATTGGAAATATTCAACCTTAAATGTACTTTCGGTTTGTACTATTCAGCCCTTTACCTGTACTCTATTTCTGGAAATGAATGCCAAATCTGTATCACTGTTCTTAGTTATAAAATAATATCGATTTCTTATAACGTAGATCCCATTACTAGTAATTCGAGAAAACATTATTTGATATTTCACTAAATTGAATCTTTAACTGACGAAAGAAGATTTAACTGACGAAAGAATAGAAGTATTTTGACGGAAAATATTTAAGTTTTTTTTTTTAACATGAACACTGAAGTTTATATTTCATTATTATAATATTTCAGAAAAAAAATGTCGCCATGCTTAGACAAATCATAAACAAAAAAATCGCTGATACCTTGTATAAATCTTTATAAAAAAGTGCACATACCAAGACACAGTTTAAATTAAGTATCCTTAAACAACTCCAATATAATATTTTAGTTTTATTCGCTAAAATGTTGTATCAATATTCTATTATCTCAAGAGTTTTTCTTTAATTTTCATATCAATAATTACTCACTTATTGGTTTGATTATGGAGTTCTCTGTATAAAACAATTTTTTTAAAAAATGAAATATATTTTTATTTGAAAGAAAATAACATCTATACGCGATGTAATTCTGGAAACATCTAGCAAACGAATGAACATTTGAAAACTCTTTTTTCCAATCGTTAAGTACATTATTAAACTGTGAGAGATATGACTTTTTTCTATAATGAAGTTAGATAAAGTGTATTTAGAAACTGAAGAAAAATGAGGAAATATAAGCTCTATTGGACTGTTATGGGGAGCGCTTACTGTTGAAGTTGATGGCCTACTTATACACAAGGTCAATGAACGGAAGCTCTTCTTCGATATAAATATTCAGCTTAACATTTAATTAAATAAGAATAACGGGTTAATTTAATGAGAACAAACTTTTGACCTTGAAGAAAACGACAACCACCCTACCCTCAACTCCAGGCCTTCACATATTAATGCCCAAAACAACATGCCTATGACCACTAGAAAGGTTTTCAAATCTTTTATCAATGCTGTACCTCCATACATGTTACAGGTTTAAATGTAAAAGTCCGCTTTCCGCAAAAAGTCCACACCTGGTGATTCACTACCGCGCTACTTGCAATGCACTGCATTCACGTTATTTTTAGAAATCTACAGTGAAATATTGCCCACATAACAATTTGCAAGTGAAGTTGAAATGACCCAAGCTAGTCCTGGTAAACGAGAGTTTGAATCCTTTCACTGTATGTCTAAAACTTAAAACCTTTAAAAATTATCGCCCGAAAACCATACAAAGCATACCTGAATTCCTTACAAGCATAAGAAATCGCTAGATTTAAATAAAAACCCACAAAATCATCATAGAGTGAATCCGGAAACAAAATCGATGGAACCCGAAGTGCCCTTCCTTCTATGTCAGACAATAGGAGTGGTAAAGGCATGTTAGGAGATGTTATGTCATTTTTTCGGCAAGGCACAGGCAATTTTCGATTAGCCCTTTTGCCATCCAAATCTCAACCCTAACTAGCATGTATAGGACAAGATATACTAGATTGCGAGAAATCTTTTCCAGCAGCAGAATCGAGCATAAAAAAGGGACGACCTAGTCAACACATGGAAAAACATTCAATAATTAATTAATTTTTCTGAATAGTGTGAACTCTTTCAGAAACTGTTTTTCTTGCTGTATACTCGTTTGAATGGAGGATAATGCAGTATTCAAGTGATATTTGGATGGAAATGACGTGAATCTAATTTTTATAAACTTATTTTTTTCTTATACCTTTTATTGTCTTATAAAAAAAAGGTTAGATAATGAGGATTTCGTCGTAAAAAAGGCATGTTAGTTGTGTAAACAAAACAGATTACTCTGGATGGACCCAACTAGATGTAAGTCATCCACGGAGGCGCTACTAAGGGTCAAGGTCGTCAGAGGCAAGTGAAAGAGACATCGAATCTTTACTTGATCACGGACGGGATTCTTTAATAAATTACAAAAAAACGAAGTAGATTTATATTGTCATATATCAACTTTGTTTGTGGATGATGCATTCACCAGTCTATTTCATCATGCGATTAATATTGAAGACCAATTTCGAATATTTACATGTATATTAGATTTCTAATGTGGTATATTTGTTTATTTATTTTATTCGCTCTTTCCTTTACATTCGTTCTTGTCATCTTTTTTCTTTAACTGACCTTTGTAAATCCATCGAAAGGTGTAATTGATTAGGAAAATTTAATATAACCTGATTTGGGTTTGTTATATACCCCAATACAAATTTCCTTCAATTTTAAAGGATGCAGAATAAAAATGAATTATATCATTATACTATTATCTTCATCATATATTTTCTTTCTAAAAATATTTTAATTATTTATGACGTTTCAAGTAAAATTGACAGCAAGGAAAAAACCAATACTTTCTACATGGAAAGGAAGTTTTTGTTAATATTGCTATTTAATCAATATCGTCGTTAGGCTTTAATAAGTGGATGACCCCGTTATAAAAGTTTTTCATTGCTGATTGTAAATGACGACAAAAATTGCCTTATATATTATGTATATTTACATATAATATGAATGAACCTGTGTGAAGACGCACGATGTTATATTGTGTTTTTCACTTTGGAAGGACTTTAAAGACAGATTATACAAACAAAAAATGGATACATTTTTTGGTCTTATTTCATTGAAAATGATGCAAATAATAAATTTTTAGAATATAGAAAAATTGTTAACCTTCTAGGATATTCAAAGTTCTGCCTTTGAAACCATGCTTATTAACCTATACAAATATTTTCCCCTTCAAATCACATTATTGTGGAATTTTCAATAAAAAAATTTAAAACTTCGCGGTGAAACTCATTCATTTTACTCATTAAAACATGTCTCAAGTAGTTATTTTCAAATTTTTGACATTATCAAAAGTTTGTTTGTATCATCTGTCCTTAATCAAGTCATAAAAACAGACAATTCAAAGCTTTAGTGACTTCGAAAATCTTTGGAACAGATAAGTTATATTGACAAAATGGTGTTTTTCGGGCCATCTTTACGGAGAAGACATTGTATATTTTGTATGTTTATAGCTTACTGTAATTGACATTTCCCTTCACATATAAACCCTTTCTTCGAATTGATTTGTTTGAAATAATCTTAAGGAAATTCCATTCTAAATGAGTTTCCTCTTCTAATGCACTAAAATTGAATAAGATTTAGTTATTTAAAGTTGATGGTTATCCAACGGACTTTTTCTCAGAAGTAGGATATTTTAAATCGTATCGTTAAAGGAAATATATTAATAGATTAAAAAATCCCGAAGTTATATTTAAATCACCAAAGGTTTTTAAAAGGCTGTTAAGAATAAACTAGTATATCAAGATAACAAACACGTAGATAAGGAGAAACGTGCATTTTTTATCTCTTGATATTTTTTTTTATCTTTTCATAAGATTGTGATCTGTATTTTTTTTTTACAATGTTTAGATTACATCCTACGTACAGTTGTTACACATAATGATAATGTACATTTTTTTTCTTCCTGTGTCAAATTTCACCTAATCCAATAAGTATTTTAAATATCACTCGTTCTATTCATTTAAATGCTAGCTATTCATAAGATTGCTCTTTAAACACTGGGTACTTTCTGAAATTTGTCTCCTGGTTTTTTCATTGTACTTTCATTTCAATTTCTGTGTAACTGAAATCATTCCATATAAACATTCGATAATAAGATAAAACTTTGTAAAATAAGAACAGACCGCGTCCTCTTTGCAGGTAAGTACGCTATCACCATCTCCAACAATTAATTACAAATATAGAAAGATGGAATAAATCAATTAAAAAGAACAGATAAAAATATAAATTTAATGTCAATTCCTGTACTTATTTTGCAAATTTATATGATTTACCAAATAATTATTTTAACATTTTTAAGAATAATTCTAACTTTCCTTCTCTTGGATAAAATTTGTTTCCATCTTCAGGAAAGCCGTATCATTAATGTATTAGCGATTTGTATTGAATGTTACAAATTTAAATTTCGAATCATAGAAATCAATTTTTAGGACATAAGATATATCAAGAGGGTATAAAGTTTCTTTTTTACGCGGTTTTGTTATATGCTGCTTATACTTCTATTAGTTGCAATATTAATACAAGAAACATTAAAAATAATTTTGATAATTAAGCCCTGGTTACTTTCATCTTGTATTGGTATTTGTTCAAACTAACATGTAACAAATAAAAAAAGTACTGTAATCCATCTTAAATATGGATATCCTCTCTTTTGTGACGCCATAAAACCAAGACGCTGCCAAATAAAATCTACCAATATTATTAACGTACTTACTTACTTACTTACTTAGGCCTGTCGTTCCGTGAGGAACATAGGCCATCAACAACAGTCCTCAAACGAACACGAATTTGAGCTGCTCTGGCTGCATCGTGCCAGGTCATATCCTATGCTCTTAACTCCGACTCCGAGTTACACCACCAGGTGATTTTAGGTCGTCCTCTTTTTCTTTTGCCCTGTAGGTTCTAAGTCAGGGCCTGGCGTGTGATGCTGGATGGTGACTTCCTTAGTGTGTGTCCAATCCAGCCCCACTTCCTCTGTTTTATTTGTACCTCCATTGGTTCCTGTCCTGCTCTCATCCATAGTTCTTCGTTTGAGATCCTGTCAGGCCATCGGATGTTGAAGATGCTTCTGAGACAGGTGTTGTAAAATGTCTGGATCTTCTGCAGGGTAGCTTTAGTCATCCTCCACGTCTCTGCACCATACAATAGGACGGACTTTACATTAGAGTTGAGGATCCGCAGTTTGGTGGTAGTACGTATGTTCTTTGAGGCCCAGATGTTCTTTAAAATGGTGAATGCAGTCCTAGACTTGCCAATTCTTGACTTGATGTCGCAGTCTGTGCCACCGTGTCTGTCCACCACACTCCCTAGGTAGATGAAGGATTCAACTTCTTTGATGGCCTCACCACCAACTGTGACTGGTGTTTGGACAGTGGTGTTTATCTTCATCAATTCTGTATTCTTCAAGTTGATTTTGAGGCCCGTTCCTGCCGATGTTGTTGCAAAGTGGGTTGTTTTATCCTGCATCTGGCTTTGGTTGTGTGAAAGGAGAGCCAAGTCATCTGCAAAATCAAGGTCGTCGAGTTGCTTCAGGAGTGTCCACTGTATGCCATTGTTCTTACCTGCTGTGGTAGTCCTTATGATCCAATCGATGACAAGGAGAAAAAGAAATGGTGACAGCAAGCAACCTTGTCGAACTCCTGTCTTGACCTCGAAACTCTCAGACATCTTGGCAGCATGGGCAACTCTGTATATCATGCCTTGGTAGGTGTTTCTAATCAGGGAGACTAGCTTCTCTGGTACTCCATAGTGCCTCAGTATCTTCCACAATGTCTCTCGGTCCACGCTGTCAAAAGCTTTTTCATAGTCGATGAAGTTGACATGTAAGGGGGACTTCCACTCCAGTGATTGTTCTATAATGATGCGCAGACTGGCTATCTGGTCAGCACATGATATGTTGGCTCTAAAAACTCATAAACTGCTACTAAATATTTAGAAAAGAACAATTGAATGCCAAATCTTACCTCAGCTTAAGTAACATTTTGTTTTATCATGAATTCAAGAAATCCTGCCTTCGGACCTAATAATTCATTTAAGGAGTGTGAAACAACAAAGTACTGAGTAATATGTTTGTTCTCCTTGAATTGGTTTTATTTCAATGTTTCAGATACCATAAGACTCAATATGGACTTTGATGCTCGACAATCAGCGGTGAACAAACGCAAACGTATGTATATGAATAAAAATGTTCAGGAATAATATTGTTTGGATGATATACATTTAAATTAAATTAAGTATTACAAAGGATTTTTGAGGAGGTAAAAATGAGTCCATGGATACTTAATTTATTTAGGTATAACTAAATAGAGTTAGGATTATTCTAAAATAAAATAATTTTTTGAATTAACGGTCTTTTGTCTTTTTATCCTTCATGGCCTTGTGATATGTTATATAAATTACTAAGTCTAAAATAGTGTATTATTGTCTTTTTTAAATCGAAATGTCTATAAATATCTGTATAAATGATTTTAATACAGGGTCAGGCGATGAGGAATATGAATTTGAAGAAAAGAAACTAAAGCTTCAATCTGACACAGATCCGAATGGTTTGTTAGGTATTCCGTCACTACAAAGTCCCATTTATCATGAAAAAGAAATTCCTCTCGAACAACAAGTATTCGAAATCCATTCAATCAAGCATGAAACAGAAATAATGAAAGAGGAAATAAGGACGACTTGGCTTCCGACTGTTTAAGAGAAAGTAATGAATTTGTTGCCGAGTCCATTCAAAGTAAAGAAATATTATCTATTCCTGTAGAAATATTAACCTTTGGATCCGAAACTACTTCTTCGACAAACTTGACAGAAGTTAAAGAAGATGAAGATGGAAATTGCATTGAACATGCAGAAGATTCTAGAAAGATTTATATACATACTGAAGTTATCAGCTCAAACAACTTCGAAAATGAAAATAAAGATCAAGCACAATCGCCAAAATACATAGAAAAGGGGTTAAACATCTCTCAAAAGAATCAAGCCCAAATTCCTTTTGGGATGAGGATTCATGCGCAATAGTCTCCAAAGCCGAGATTAATAATTCAATAAAACTCCAGGTACCAGAAAACATAGAAGATGAAGATCCTAATAATCAAGGAGAGGCCAGTCAAGTCTCTAAACGCGATGAAGGCTCATTGGATCAAGGAATACTTGGCAAAAACGAGTCTTCAAATACTTACGACATTTACATCGAAAAAGATGATGATAAAAACGTGAGCGAGTCAACGCCGATTGTCAAAGAAATAGTTATCGAAGAAAAAGGACCAGCTTCCCCAAGTCACAATCAGACAGGAAGGAGCGTTGACGTTATTGGGTCTTTAGAGGAAAATGATGATGACACTGAAGACAGGAATGATAATGATAGCGATTCCGACAAATATTTGTACAGACTACTGCGACCTGACGAAACTTATAATTCTGGAATCTTTCCCAAAAATAGACATTCCTATACAAGCCTTGAAGATCATGTTAGTAGTGGGTCTAGAAGCACTATAGGGTCAAAGTTCATTTCCTGCTCTAAATCGTTAGAAAAGATCATGCAGTTTGCCAGAATGATCCGGAGAAGTTGGCGCCACGAGCTAAGACACATTGTGCGGATTGACCGCACCCTAATGGGAAGCGATGTGGAGGAAATAGATCTCACTGACACAAGCGTCCGAGAAACACACCTCACCAGTGACAGATCAAGAAGAAACTCCTTAAGATTTGATGAGATTATATTGGTTCCAAAAGAATGCATACCTCCTGCAAGCGTTAAGAGGATTTGTCATGTCCAGAATGACTCTATTTATATTGACGATTAAAAATCCCATAGATATCTACGATAACACAAATGAAAAAAAAAACAAAGATTGGCCAAAATAAAATTATATGAAATAGCCTCATTGAAATGCCTGAAAAAAAATTATTGATCTAGGAAGTTTTTTTTTTAATCATTTTTTTTTGCCCATTACATGTGCACCATACAAACATTGAAATATAAGGTAAAATTATGTTGTTTTTTTTTTGGTTTTTTTTGTGTGATATATTTGTTTAAAGTCAGAAAATATATTAACTGTTTACTTATTTATGAAAAATTAAAAATTTTTTTCCATTTAAAACAAAAAAAATTCCCCTCCCTCCCTCCTCTGTCTGAAAACCTTATATTATTAATGCATAAAAATATGCTCTGTTTTTATTTATTATAATGTGTATTCATATTACTTTTTTCTTTTATATTATTAATGCATAAAAATATGCTATTTTTTTTTATTATAATTTATTCATTTATTTTCTTTAAATTAGAAATATTCTCCTACAAATGAAAGAAATGATGCATTTCCTTTCCTTTTTGGTGTGTGACTGTGATATTAATAAAGACATTAAATAACAATTGCGTGTATTTTGACTGTTTCTGTTTGTCATTTACAAACTTAATATTAATTTAATTAAAATTCATAGATTTACCTGCTGAACTGTTAGGATGTATAAAGATATCGAACAGTATTAAAGCTCAAAACGTCCAGAAAAAACACTAAAAACAGAGGTGGAAAAAGATGATATTGGAGAGTAAGCATCCACTGCCGATCGGTCACACCCGCTGTGTGCTCTTAGAAGATAAGGATATTAAAACGGTGGATATTCAGTGTTTAAATAATGGCCTAACAAAAAGTTTGAAAAACGTCAGTCAGCATTTCACTGAAGGACCATGTCTACACGTTGCAAAATTTTTTTTTTTAGATTTACCACCCAGGAAAAGTGTTCATACACAACACAGTATCAGTGAACAGAAATAATTAAATGTTTACTACCATACAGAGAACACACATATAAATAGCATGTTCAATTTATTTATTATCTTAGCCCTCTAACATGTAAAAAAAAAAACTAGAGGTACTGTGAGCAATGAGATCACTAAATGATACCCCCCGCCTCCAATATGAATAAAATGGCAGTGTCCATGATTTGCTCTGGAAAATCCAAAATATATGTCAGATCAAAAAGTAAAATAGGAGGTGCACAATGGCATGTAATTAAGATTCTGTGAAAGTTTTATTTAATTTCCTTCAGTGGTATGAGAGGAGTTGCGGAAAAGAGATGGGTACCCAAAAGCGTAACAGACGGACGGACGGACGGACACATCTGTTTCATACTTTATACTTTTTTTAACTGAGTATGATCTTATATATGCAGTTTTATTTTTATTTAAATATAAAAAGGTTATAGTCTTTCAATCCAAGATAAAGTCTTCCATGAACTTTAATCCCTTTTCTATTTTTATATTAAAGCTTATAAATATGTTAAGTATAATAAGTTTTTTTTTCTTTCACTCATATGGTGACGTCATCTCTCACCCAAGGACTCGTTCTCCAGGTGTACGTCTCGCAGTGGTTTCAAACCCGCGACGTTATGATTATCTCTGAACATCGCTACTCTAGAACAGATGCTCTTACCACTGCACTTGTATCTAATTTAAGTATTTAAGATCTAAAAACATTTTTTTTAAAATGCTGACCTACCTTGTTCTTTTGTTTGACACTGTGTCACTAATTCTCCTCTGTTCCATGTACAGGTGACGATAAAATCATCTTCTTCCTTCCTCTTTATATGGATTCCGTCTGATGACAAATTGAAGAACTTATGTTGGCAGGTCAAATTTATGTGTTCCTTGTTGTAGGTGGCATCAACCGTAAATTCTGAACCTATTGAAATGAAGTTAATTAAAAAATAAATAAAACAAATATTTATCGTGTTCTTACTAATTCGATCGATCGAAGGATAGAGAGAAACTTACGACATGGTATCATTATAATAGATTTATTGATATGGCTTCCATTATTACACCTGGAATGTATCACCATCTGTTTTCCCGCATGATGTTCCAGATGAAAAGTGAAACTGAATCGAAGAGATTTATTGGTATTTTCATAATTCCCATTACTACACAACATTTTTCCTTGATTCCAATCGCATTGATCAACATGATTAGGATCTCCCTCTACAGTTATGGTAATATGTCTGACGTCACAATTAATGTCTGTTACAATGGTTTTTCTTTCATTGTGGCAGAATTCTTTTGTTTCTTCGGTTTTTGACAAAATTACTGAAAATTAAAAAGAAATCATTTGTACATTTTTATTAAAAACCATTACATAAAGACATACTGAAGATATGGTTATATATAAAAACCATATATTAACTGTGATAGATAAAATACTCTATTCAGGGAAATTTTCGCCCCTTTCGTCCTCTTGAGAAATGAGCGAATTTAAAACGGGGCGAATTCAAATAAACAATATAATTTCTTACGCAGAACTTAGAATGGGCGAATTTAAATTGGGCCAAATTGTTCACAACTGCAAATGGGCGAAAATTACACGGGGCGAAAATAAACATGTATACTACGTCGATGTTACATGTAATGATTTTATCGTAGGAAACATCATTGTTGATGTGTGTTGAGCAAAAAAAAATGTAATCAGTATATGATTTATTTATTGAAGTGTCAAGTTCAAGTTCAGTTTATATCACCCAGAACAACGTATTGGTGCATGAGGTAAGGTGCATATATAACATATATACATTATATATGATATATGCAGTCTGGTAGAGGTACATAAACTATATAGTAAACATGACAGGAAATTAAAGACGTACAACACACTGAGAAAGATAACTCTTGCAATTTCAATTGAACGTTTGACGTGACATCAAATTTAACGTTGGTTATAAAGCATCATGGTGATGAATGCTACGATCTCGATGTATCAATCATAAAAGAAAAATGGGATATGGGGATTGATTTCTGACAAATTTTATTTAAGCCTACATTGCCTAAATTCTCGTTATGTACAATATTGGCTACGTACATGTAACTGTCTATATTTTAATTTGTGCATTCGCGATAAAAATATTGGTTAGTTCTTCTTTAATTAAAACAACAACACCAATAAACAAATAAAAACTTTTTACAACATCGATGTCTTTCTCAGAGCCTTACTGATCAAAGAGGAACAACTATCAAATTGTTTTTAGTATATAAAAAAACCAGTAGTCATTATGTATTCTGCATTCATAAATTAACAAACTAGTGTGTACCACAGGGATTCATATGACGAAATATATCTACACTTTAACCAACATTTTGTCAAACGTTAATCGTCTTAGCAGCGACGCAAAAAAGGGAAGGATAAAGGTGGAGGGGGTATTCAAAAATTACCTATAAATTTACATTTAAATACGCTTTAAATATGAGAACTCTGATATATGTAAGTTAATATATTTTTAAGCAAAAACAATATTCCAATTTGACCTTTTTTAAATGTGCTTTTTAGATTCATAGCATATATAGTCATTGACCCAAGTCTGAAAGAGGTGCGGGAACATGATTTAGGGAGAAAGGGGGACGGGGTAATTTTTCGCTATGAAATCAAAACTGGTCGTACAAAAATTATACAAAAAATCATGAAGATTATCTTTACTACATGTGCCAGATACCTTAAGAAAGTTTTTTTTACCAAAATTTAACTTAACAACAGGTTTTTTCACACACACAAAAAAAAAACTGAAATTGAAAAATACACAATTTTTAAGGCTTAGATAATTCATGGTTTATCAGTTTAATAAAAGGTCTTTAAACATTTCTTTGATGATATGTATATCAAAAAGATGACTTTATTTTTGTGTTAAATGGTAAAAAGAATATGTCAATAAAATTTGAAAATTATAGCTAACCTGGCTTTTTTTGAAAATCAATGTTTTAGTTTGTTGATTAAAATTGAAAAGTTTCTCTCCTCGTAAACAACTAAAGGGGAGGGGGTAAATTTGGGAATTTCCTGTCAAAAAACCACTCTAACGACTTTGTCCAACATGTGCATTTATACAGTAGATATAGCAATGTATCAAATATACGATTATAAAAATATTGAAAATTAAACGAGAGGAATATATAGTGGGGTGTGTATTGTACAAAAAATAACAGGAAAAACCATTTAATGTTGAGAGAGAGAGAGAGAGAGAGAGAGAGAGAGAGAGAGAGAGAGAGAGAGAGAGAGAGAGAGAGAGAGAGAGAGAGAGAGAGAGAGAGATAGAGTGAGAAAGAGAGAGAGAGAGAGAGAGAGAAAGATTGAACATCTTATTAGAGAGAGAGAGAGAGAGAGAGAGAGAGAGAGAGAAAGAGAGAGAGAGATAGAGAGAGGAGAGAGAGAGAGAGAGAGAGAGAGAGAGAGAGAGAGAGAGAGAGAGAGAGAGAGAGAGAGAGAGAGAGAGAGAGAGAGAGAGAGAGAGAGAGAGAGAGAGAGAGAGAGAGAGAGAGAGAGAGAGAGAGAGAGAGAGAGAGAGAGAGAGAGAGAGAGAGAGAGAGAGAGAGAGAGAGAGAGAGAGAGAGAGAGAGAGAGAGAGAGAGAGAGAGAGATCCTTTTGATAAACATGCAGACATTACATTAATGCACGAAAGTAGATTTCTCTTTTTTTATTTTATTGAAAACAACCAGATTTTACCTGAATCATTATAGTTCATGTATACTTTAGTTAAGAAAAAGAAATCGTTTTTAAATATCATTTTGTAAAAAGTACAATATGATGTCTGATTAAAATCTGGTTGTTTTCAATAAAATAAAAAAAAAACTTATACCTGGTATAAAAATCCAAATATGTGACACAATAATCCGTAGTTGTGAGTGAATGATGTTTTCTCACAATGTTTAATACAAAAGTTATGAAGAGTTCTGTTATAAATATCTTGACTGTATCAGTAGTTTTTTTAAAGTTTCTATTTATATATATTTATATACTTTAATTATAAAACTGAGTAATACATCACATATAACATTAAGTTGTGAATTGAAATGAAGAGCAATTATAACTGAAGCTTGAAAATTAGTTTTACTGTTCTTTCTTGATGGTATCATGTATTAAAAAACTATGTCATCCTTCATTTCTATATTGTATAATTTACAAAATGTAGTTTATTAAGACTCGTTCACAGTCACTGCACTTCAAGGCCATTCTTCACATTCTCAATCATATTAATCAGGCAGTGCTATATGCCCTCATTGAAAACATTTGTATTAAACTGATCTAATGAAAAGCAGGAGGTTCTTTCACAAAAACATCTTACTACTCAGACTAAAAACTTCACCACTCTATATTTTTTTCTTGATATTTAAAAGGATTGTTCTCCCAAATACACCTCATTTAAATATACTTATATATGCAATGATAGATTCATTATTTAATAATTAAAATATCAATATTATGTATTAGAACTAATTTTTCTAGCTTAGACATTTGATGTAGATGGGAAGACATTTTAATCTTCAATTAAAATAAATTGTGAATGGGTCACAGATTTACAAAACGAAAAAATATTTTTTTCTGTCCTATAAAAATCCAGGTCATAAGAAGAAGACCATATCTGATTTACTGATAGTGTGGTTATCTAAGACAGCTTTAAAACTACACAATTAACAAAGGTTAAAGACAAGTCGTCTACCAGGTGTCATTTTAGGGTAGCATGGCATTTAAATATTAGAGTATTAATTATTTATGGTATTAATTACAAATGTACGCGACAAACAAATTCAATGCGTTAAATATACAGCATGAATACGATCTAAAAATTCATTCTAAACTTAAGAGAGAAAAACTTGCTGCATACAAATGAATAAAAAAATGTCCGTAATACACTGTAGATGTTTTTACAGCATGTTTGATATTTATTAACACGGGAATTTAGACTTATCATTTTCAAATTTCTAAATTAATTTTAGAAAGGAAAACTGCATGAAGGAAATATCAATTCTATGGAAATTTTAGTGAGGTGTTTAATTAGATATCATTAACAACTAATTCCGCCCTTGGTGGAACTTATTATATCTTCCTGTACAATAAAATTGCTACATTTACTTATCGCCTTACCCAAATCCTGACTTTAAGAGTAACTCGTTTGCACAGGATCAGGATTATTTTTAATCTATTTGTCCGGTATTTGATGCCATTATACATCTGCATGCTAAAAAAATCAATCTAAACTTTGTACATATGGCACCATTTCTTGAAAGATAACACAACCCCTATTTTTCTCTGCTTTCACTTTAATACTGGCCATGTGTCTTGATAATAAGTTACTGATCAGCATTAGGTTAAAAAAGCAGTGCCCTCTCTTTGTTAAATAGCATTAAAAAGTTAAGTAGAATGGATGTATGAAATATCATAACATTAACAAAAATAATCGACACACTCATGGAAAGCTGGAACTCATTTTTTTTTTACTTTAAAAAAAAATATAAACATCCACTTAATAGTAACTAAGATGATGAGAAAGATTTGTGTTATATATTAGAATACTCTTTTTTCATAAATAAGAAGTAAAATTCTACTTTGACGTTTGGAAATGCACTTGATAAATTTCATAAGAAGGGCACTGCAACAAGCGCAAGTGAAGCATCTCCTCACAATAAAAGAGAATATCTATAAATCATAGCAGCATTAGACATCGATCCCGATCTAAATTTAACATCAGTTCCATTTGACGGTTTCGCACAGAACAATCTCGCTCACAAACAAACGAACGCACCCAATTATGATATTTAATGATATTTTAATAAAGAAAATAACCGAGAGAGCATTTAGAATTGCTTTAATGAAAAATAATTATGAAATATACCCCAAAAATTAACGAATTTTCATGTTTTAATAAAGTACTACATAATGTGACAGAAACATAGGATTTATACAAAAAATTAAAAATGTTGGAGAAATTATAATATTTCTATGTTTTGAATTTTAAAAGCATAAATAAATAACTTTTTTTCTTTTTTAAAATTCTTATTATCCTTTCTTTCAAACGTTTAGGTTATCATAACATCAAAAACATATTTCTAGGACGTTAATCTACCTATCAGTTAAAAATTCGTTTTGAAAATAAGTTATATGAAATTGTAATTAAATTTTTCGACCTGTAATGTCTTAATATTGATTTCTAAAGAGAAAAAAATGCTTTAAAAGAGTGCATACGCTTCCTTTTATTAAGATGCAGGAAAAATTGGGCCCCTTCGATTCAAAATGGCTATTAACATTTTTCTAATGCAGCTTTTAATTAACTTCAAAAGCTGCATGGTCAGTCAAAAAAATGAAACTTCTAATTCATTTATAAGTTTAGTCTTTCGACTGTTCGAGCGATATACCGGTTATAATGTTTAGGCAGTCATCTATGCATTTATTTAAAACTTATTTGATTGAATAATTACAATTTATCTTTCCTTAATTTTCTGCGAATTATTTTGCTAAAGCATTATCTGTCTCCCCAGCAAAAATGATATAAAAAGAATTACCTTGATAAAATACACTCAGAGAAATCACGTTATAGATCCAATATCACAGACATGATCAAAGTGTTGGCCGAATCTAAAACGCAAATAATGAAGTCTATAATTTCTTACTCATTAAACATTAAAGTTGGGTCTACTGGAATCTTGAACTTGAACTTTATTCTCATAACTGACAAAACAGTGAAGAGAATCAGAGCTTGAAGTATAACTCCGACAAGACACCCGAAAAAATACCTTGTACATTTCAATATGTAGACTGGGATTTTTAACCCGTCACTTTATAGGACAGTCCAGACACTGACACTGGTTTCGTTTTCAGGGCTTCCCCAACTCGTATATATGAAACAAGTGACTGTGAGTCAGGACCCTAAATAATTGCCGAGGTTTTATTTAAGTTCCACGCTTAATCAATAGATAAACGCGTTCAAAACATTTTGATCTGTAGTATAAAGTTACGCGATATACAGTTTTCCATTGAACTTCCTAAGAGTGTCCGTTTAAACTTCTGATTGTAAAGAAATCTGTAAAGTAAATTAGTTAAATTATGCGTAGTAATACACTGAAAAACTCCAATGGGATTTATTTAAAACGTGTTAATTATTAGAATCTTTAAAGATGTAAAGAAAAATTTCTACAATTATGCTTGTACGAAAAAAAAAACATTCCTTACTGCTCAATGACCTCAAGTGCTGTGTATAAGTCAAAATGTATACTCCCCGACGGCAAGTAGCAGTGTCTCAATATCATTAAAACATTCTCGGAAGGGTAGGTAAACAAAAAAAAGGCAATCATAAAACATTACTTTTATTCAGGTTGACGTTTGTGTTGTATACATCCACGTGCGTGCATGTACGCCTTTGGATATTATCTTATTCCCTCTTATATAACTAAAGCTTGTTAATTTTGGCTGGTAGCATTTTGCGTTATAAGCCTGCGAAACAAAATTTTTAAATGGAAAACTAGAACTGTAATTTCTAAACATTCATTAAATATAAATCAAACTTACCTGTATTCAGTTTAAAAAATAAAATCTTCAAAGACTACCAAAAATTACTAATTTATTTTCAAAATCTAATTCATTTTCGCCTCCAAACGTAATATTTAGATTGAAATTTGGCTCTATTTTTCAGGTTGAATCCACGTTTCCATTGATGTACATGTATCAGTGACGCTTGCGATTTTCAGAATGCTGACGGAAATGAAATGCATATATGATGGTAAATTAGGACCCTATACATTAATACATAGAATTAAGATAAAGATGTTATACAATGTTATTCACTTTAAACGTGCTCCTAATAAACAAAATTCAGGAAAAATAAGATGAAGCCTTGAGAATGCTTCAGATTTCAATGCTTCTGATTCATGTAACATGTAAATACATGTGTGCACGGAGTGTATTTAGGAATTAAAATGAACCAAGTCACGAGTTTTTTGTGGAATTTAAATAGTTTGACCTTTGAATGAAATTAATGCACTACTAAACAATTACGTTACAAGCTAGTAAACGGAAAAACAATTCGATCTTTAAGTAGACGACTGTACAATACTACTTGTTTATGCAAATTATTCAGTGATCTTAAGAGAAAAAATTATATTTAACATTGAAGGACGAAGGTTTCACTTAACCGTAAATACGTTTCCTCAAGATTTAAATTGAATTGTACTTTCAATATTATGTAACGTGTCAGACAACTTTAAGTACTGCGAGCAATAAGCTCACTAAATGATACCCCACCCCCATGCCTCCCATACGATTGTAATGGCAAACTCTATGCCTCGCTCTGGGAAACCTGAAATAAGTGTCAGATCAAAAAGTAAAATAATAACCAGAAGTCTCTGTCGAGACTGAAGCTCTACTGGTTCTTACTTGTAGCAAAGGAATAGGAAAATAGCAGTAAATTGGGACTTGAAACTTTACAACAGCAATAAATAGGATAATGATCCTTTATTAAGTTTCTTTATGTTCTTAGTGTAGTCCACTTGCATGCCACATTATATTATAATAAGACTAAAACTGTATTTGATTTAGCATTTTGGTAGCATTTTAAAGAAATTTTTATCTTTAGTAACCAAGGCAATAATCTTCATCGAAATCAAAAAACTATAAATAAAATTGTGCTTCTTAGTGTAGTCTACTTCTGTGCAAAACATTATTGAAATCAGACCAAAACTGTAGGAGGAGTAGCATTTTGAAAAAAAAATTCACAGAAATTCTATTTTTAGTAACCACGGCAACACCTTTTATCAAAATCAAAAACCGATAAACAGAATTATGTATATTAGCGTAGTCTACTTGTGTGCAAAGTTATATTGAAATCAGACTAAAACTGTAGGAGAAATAGCATTTTGAAACAATTTCACAGAAATTCTATTTTTAGTAACCACGGCAACACCTTTTATCAAAATCAAAAACCGATAAACAGAATTATGTATATTAGCGTAGTCTACTTGTGTGCAAAGTTATATTGAAATCAGAAGAAAACTGTAGGTGGAGTAGCATTTTGAAAAATTGTTTACTGACAGACGGACGGACGCCGGACGCTTTACTATCGCATAAACGCTTCTGGTTTCTTACCAGTAGAGCTCAAAAGTGCACAATGCCGTTGTGTAATTTAAAAAATCTGTGCAAATATCATTAAATTTTATTCAGTCGTATTAGAGGAGTTGCAGATAAGTTGCATTGGAACCCTTCAGTATTAGAGAAAGAATGGACGTGTCCGTGTTTTGCTCTGGAAAACCCAAAATATGTATCCTTTCAAAAAGTGATATAAGAGGTGCTAATGACACTATGTAACAAAGATTCTGTAAAAGTTTCATTAAAATTCTTTCAGCGGTAAGTAGTTGCGGATAAGAGATGGGTACTTTTCAATATTAGAGAAAGAATGGCCATGTCCATGTTTTGCTAAGGGAAACCCAAAATATGTATCCTTTCAAAAAGTGAAATAAGAGGTCACAATGACACTATGTAACAAAGATTCAGTAAAAGTCTCATTAAACTTCATTCAGCGGTAAGGAGTTGCTGATACCCCAGATGGGTACCCATCTTTTTAAGCGGGGGGTATAAATATACTGATATTTGGAAGTCTCGGTCTTGATATTTTCCTTATTTGTTCAATTGTAGATGTGAGTACCAAATAAGTTCACCTGGAATGCCGCCTCCAGGAAATGGAGTTGTCCAAATTCCAATTAAGGTAAATGAACACTGTATAGAGCGTTCTAGGCTGGTGTATGCCTTAGCAAGAATTCTTGGATTACCTGACGAACACACCCGAGGCGACAGAGACAACTACATCGACATACACTGGGATAATATTGAAAGTATGTGTTATATTAAAGAATTGTTTTGACTTTCAAAGGCTTTCATAATATTATTTACAATCTAAAGTTCTTAATGTAATATTGAATATGAATGCACATGATTTCAAACATGTATCTAGAAAGTATTGTACTGGAGTATTTAAAGAGCTCACTGCATGAGTTGCACGATAGAAACATAATTATGTGATTTTGCCGTATTAATTGAAGGAGAAACCGTTCGTGCGAAGAAGTATAACATATCATCACCGATGTTATGGGCTGGAATTGAAAGTATGCCGTACGATTTTACATCAGTTACTCACATTGGTCCATTCGAACACGCTCTTGATATAAGGAAACCGACACTATCATCTAAATATGAAGGAGTGTATTTTGGAAATCATCAGAATCTCAGTGTAATAGATGTTATGAAACTTAGGAAGCTATACAAGTGTCCAATAGGTACACGTTTTGTTTTCTTTTCAAATAAATATGAACAACTCACAATATGAAACCGTATTCTAGACCTTTTATAGTTAGTAACTTTATTCATTTTATTTTGATAATAAAGAAAAATGAAAATTTTCTTCAGGAGAGAAACATCATGGAGCAGTGGGTGAGTCAACTAAAATTTTAACTAGACAGAATATGTTTGCTAAGCGTACAAAGGTTTACTTTGCACAATTTTATATTTTATAAAACGCTTAAACAATGTGAAATGATTATGCAATTTTTTGAATTTCTAAAATTAAACATCCATCATACAGAATAATTTTTTTTTAAAAGCCAATAAAACTATTGTAAATTGTATTAAGAATTCGTGTATTTCTTAAGGGTTTCACCCAATACATTGTACGTTTGACCTACCTCTTTGTGGGATGGTGAACGACTGGACATTATCTGGGATCCAATGGAAAAAAAGAAAAGGTCCAGCATCAGAAGAAGGTCCACAGACTGACCATTCAAACGGAAATGGTTTGTTATTATTATTATTATTGCCTAAAAATATTCAAGAGTTGACATATGGAGACGAGCATAACTATTGTTCATCTGATGCAACATTGATTAAAAAGCTCTCAATGTAATATAAAAGTTCAGTAATCTTCGATAAATGTTTCTTAAATGACTGAAAGAATCTATAGATAATGTGCAATTTCTATTTTTTTTCTCTTTTTACACTGTGCTTGTATCTACTTCGTCATTTGCATGTAGGGTGGTACATGTTTGTCAATGGTACAGAAACTTTCACTACTGCTCGTCTGGTCAGCATTACTGAGCTGTCCCCTGGAGACGTATGTTTCTCTATGTATTACTATATAGAGGATAACTCAACTTCTATCAGGATATCTATAATGGAGTCAGCTAGTAACAACATTACCCAAAGTAGAGAGATAAAATATAATGAAGGAATATCCTGGTCCGAAGCCAGGTTCAATTTAAAGTCAACCAAAACTTGGCGAGTGAGTATCCATTTCAATGTTATTTAGGCAATAATTCTTCAATATTTTTCCGATTAATTTGACTTACCTGACTTCATCTTTGGTGAGCAAAGATCAACAACCTTATTGCGCCAGCGCAATTTTAGGCTATGTTTTTCAATGGGGCTCCAAGTAAAACCTGCCTCTTTTGCCTCCATTTCCACGGATTTCCACGGATAGTTTAATAAATTTGTTGGGTACACATTTTTCTTTTATTTTCACAAATCATTACTTACTTTTGCAAATTAGGGGCTATTGTTAAATTTTGTAGACTTGAACTATTTTTTATAAATCATTATTTTGACTAAAAAGATACCAAAAGAGTTATAAAAGAATTACAAAAGAAAATCTTGTTATTTGTCAAATGGCAAAATCTCAAAAGCAAGTAATTACGATTTCCCAATCTGACATTCTTTTAAATTTGAAAGGAGATGTAATTTCTACATCCATTTGTTGAAATAAAAGCTATGTTTACTTTTCTTATTTGGTAGATTTGGATATGTACACCATGCATTTGATTTTTTTCTTTTCTTTTCAGCTATTAATAGAAGCTGATGTTTCAAATGGTACAGTAGCAATTGATGACGTCATGGTGCAGTATGGAAAATGTATCTCTTCAGAAAAATGCTAAAATGACAGGAGAGTTTTCTTCGAGTTGAAAAATTCGAAAAATTTATTTTATATGTTTTCATAGCTATCAATAAACTAGTTAAAATATGCTTTTATGTATGTACGTTTAAAATACTGTAAGCCAACTATTATTCGCGTCATTTTTGAAATCAATCCGCAGCGATTAATTTTCACGAATAAGGAAACATTTTCTATATACAAAAACAAAGCAAAATAAATGATTCGCGACGATTAATATTCGCGACTTAAAGAAGGTCGTGAAACTCGCGAATATTTATCGCACACGGAAAATACTTGGTTTACAGTAATCCTCATGTGCATTTTTCCAATATTAAAATGTTTTAAATGTTGAAAAAATCGTACACGAGAAGCATATTAACTTTAGCTTATTATCTAAGATAGTTCACATCAATCTTTTACCTTTAATCATCATTAGTGTGTAAGTAAAGTCCGTAGGCCGTTAAGATAACATTTGCTTATAGTATTTTTTGAATGGGATAGCATCATTATTTGTGCAGATTAAATGTGTGAAATAAATCTATGAATCAAATTGTAATTCTAATCTTACTTCGTTTTGTTAAATCTGATCCTTAGCATTTCCATTGTCTTTGCTTCTCATTCATTTTTCTAACATAATTCTGTTTCAGAGAATCGTTTTGGGGTTCTATACATATATCATGTATTATTTAGCTGTTATCTAGCCTAGGTCTTATCTTCTATAGTTAGTAAAACATCCAAATGTGAAACTGATGTGGCACAATAGTTATTTTTAAATTAAAAGTTTACCGGAATACATCGAGTAAATCACAGGAGTTTGCGTACCTATCAATATTACAGAAAATTTTAGCGAATTGAACAATACGCAATACTAAAAATCATTCGATAAAATAGCGGGTTACATACATAATAATAAAAGGTGATTCTTTTTATTTACTAAATATTACGGTTAAATTGATAGGTAAGTGAACTCCTTTGATATGTATGTATACATAAATTGTATAGCATAAAAAAAAATTTCCAGAAAAAAAAAACAATTTAATGTTGAGCCAAGTAGTAAAAGTGCATTTCTTTTTTAAAATGTTTGTTTACCAATTCTGAAAAACCTTACTAAATACACTTGTATATCGTTTTATTTTTCGACATCTTCGACATAGTAGAAATAAATTGATTAATAAGATATAAAACTACCTTGCACTTTCCAGATTTCAATGTTATTTCACACAATTAGCAACGAGTAAATATATTTTTTATAATTCAGGTGTTATAAAGACGTTTTTTGCAAGAATGGTTGTTCATATTTTTAAATTTAAAATGTTTGCCATTGAATTTGCTTATAAACATTGTCTTGTACTAATTGTGTTTATATTCATCTGACAAACTTGATGAAAATATAATGATAAATCACATACATACATACATACATGTATCATTGGTTTTACTAAGAAAAAAAATTACAACTGATTTCCACAGTGTCCTGAACCAGAACTCGCCTCCTGCTTAAACTCACCTTTCCCCATACTTTGCAAAATACAAAATCCCTGAGGCTGCTTAAAAAGAAAGATACGTTCTAACACTGATTCTTTTAACAATTTTATTATTATATTTTTTCCAGCAGACACGTATGGCAGAATGTTTTCTCCATTTGAATTTGGTTTAGATTTATTTTTACGATATTGAGGTAATGTTAAATCCGTCCATGCATTGTATACATGTATGTATATTAAATTTTTGTGATAATTTAATGTTTCAGACTCAAATTAATACCTTAACAAACAAACACAAACAACCTGTTGTGAAATACTTTACGTGTTGCAGCTTTAATTTCTTTTAGCAAGAAAGCATAGATGAGATTTTAAAAAAAGCGTTTTGTCGAGTTTTTTTATCTAGAGTCATCTAGCTGTATGATGACTTTTTTAATACCCGCCGCTTGAAAAGCGGGAGGGTATATAGTAATCGGTATGTCCGTCCGTCCGTCTAGCTGTACGTCCGTCTGTCTGTACGTCCGTCCGTCTGTTACGCTTTAGGGTACCCATCTCTTAATCGCAACTCCTCTTATACCACTGAGTGAAATTTAATGAAACTTTCATAGAATCTTTATTACATATTGCCATTGTGCACCTCTTATTTTACTTTTTGATCTGACACATATTTTGGGTTTCCCGGCCACAGCAAAACATGGACTTTGACATCAGTTATAACTATATGGGAGGCAGGGGTATCATTTAGTGAGCGCATTGCTCACAGTACCTCTAGTTTCAATTACAGAAAATAAAAAAGAGTTTTAGGTGGCAGAGGATAGTTATTTTTTGTTTTTGTTTTTTGCAATCAAAACGTTTGACTGACGGTTTACTTAATATTGAGCTGCTTTTGAAATGTGCATTGAAAAATTTTAAATTCCTTCTACATGTAATAATAGTATGTTGTAGTCCCTTGAGGAAATTGAAGCTTTTAGGAATAAAACTTGTACAACTTACACAATGAGCCCAAAAGATGGCGCAGGGACAATCTCAAAATTTCATGTGAATCAAGCCTATTTTCACTATTTCGCCGCAGCCGCAACTGCTTCCAGGCCCGTGCTCATGACCTAAGCTACCACACAAATTGCAGAATAACATTTGTACATACCAATGAACAGCAAGAGATAATGGCTCAACCACCTCGTTTTCAAGCTGCAATTCATCCTATGAACCCACCCCGCTTTTCTGGTGAAATACCGGTAGAGTGAGTTTTGAGTATAGTTTCGTATTTCTAGTCCATATTCCATATACAGTAGTAGTGACACTAAAGTGTCATATTTCAATAAAATATACAAGGCCACCATTCCCTCCAAATGCACCCATAAAATATTCTAGCAATAAAATTATCTATAATATGCATTCAAACCTCAGGTTTCTCTATTTTTTTCTATTTTTTGACGGTACTTTATTCGAAACTATCCTCTGCCACCTTTAACTTTCAAAGTTTGTCTTGCAAGTAATAAACCTTGCTCAATTCAAAAGAACATGCAATTCTGAGTAAAAATATACCAAATATGTCCTGATTCATTGAAAAATAAAATAGTTTTGGCCAAATAAGAGACCTCACCAATTCTCGGTCAACCACCTTACCCCCATATTGTTTGTTACACATAAAACAAAAGCAATTCTTACAACTCCAGATGATCAATATACCATCAAAAAAGTGTTAAATGGTAATTTTAATATATTTCAAATACAGTTATATGTAAAAAGTCCAATATAAAGTGCATATTATGGTGAAATATACTCACATGTATCACATACTCCCCTATTTTTTATGTTCTATGAAATTCCATTTTATCTTTTTTCACTTGGTTTTATATACCTATAACTTCTTTGCAGAGTTAAAACCCCTTTCAACTTTCAAGATATTTATCATGATATGCAAAAAACCCTTTGCATCACATGCTAAAGAAAAAGTGTCCAGAAAATGGCAGTTCAACAGTCTACCACTGCAACCATTTCTTCAGTGTAATGAAAATGCACTGTAAAATTATGTTTTTCCTATCTGCATTCTTTCTAAGTGTCTGATATTCACTTTCAACAGTTATGAGTAATCAAATACATACATTTAATTCTCCTGAATACTAAAAGTGATTATTCTGTCCTTCCTGGGCAATTGTGGGCAGATTATGTGGGCCCAGCAGAATTCAATAATTACATGAGAATGCACATTTTATTGATATTACTTCATTAAATATGCAATATAAACTCTTTGTTTTGTTATCATTCAAAGAAAAAAAGTCATTTTATAGCAAACCATTGAAAAGTTTAGATTCTGTCACATTTAAATTTAGATAAATTTAAAAATTGAAAAGGGGGGGGGGCATATTTCATGAAAACATCAATAACAGAACAGGTTAAATTTGGAAAAATAAAGCAAAAAAAAGTTTTCTTGTACTATATATGGTTAGGTTTAGTGACATCTAGGTATGCTGACTGATTTTTATATTCAAAATAATTATATTTAGTAAATTAGGTTGAAAAAATGGCAAATTTAGGTAATTTCAGTGATATCGCATTAATTAATACACTTAAAAATTTTAATTAGATTTAATTAATTAAAGCAAAATGATTTCAATTATGTGACAATACCCAAAATATCAAATTCAAACAATTAATTCATTCTCTGGCAAAAAAATGCCTAAATCTTGTATGATTTATTATGCTGATGGTTTAAAGTCTTTAAAAATGAATACTGGAAAAGAGTAACCCCCCTTGCTTTTTAGTGAATATACCCAATACTTGATATCGCGATTACTTAACTTAGCGGAACTCTTTCGCGAAGGAGGTAGGAATCGTCTATTGGGTGGGGGCAATGTGCTATTCAATACAATGCAAGATCGATCATTGTAGCATTTATAAGGATAGATAAGTAAAAAATCCTGGTGGAATACCTCGCTAAACAATCGCTGAACCAGCCTAATATATTTTTGAGAGGAGCCAGTCCCAAATTGTCACATTTTTAACGATATTTTTAATTAAGCGGACTCTTCTCGTTAAATTTCCATTGATAATCGTCACATTTTTAAGCAGATAAAATATTCTAAACTTTCCTTATTTGACAATCTACTATTTGGAGTTCAATATCTGGCAAAACATCGTGATTTCGGCATTAAATTATTCGAATCATTCGATTGTCACTACTGTAAACAATGTCATTTGCCCCCAGAAATTTAGACTTTTCTCGACTCCCCCGCAAAAGAGCGGTAGTAAGTTCGATAACTGCGAGGTACTCATTGGTAGTCGCGATATAACGTAAGTACAAATTTTAAATAAAAGAAACAAAGTTTTTTTTTTAATTGATATACATAAATAAACCTTTTTGTATGAAAATCAGACTAAAATTCATATTTCTAAACATTGATGTATTCTTGAAGGTGGCAGAGGATAGTTTTTTTTTTTTTTTTTTTTTTTTTTTTTGCAATCAAAACGTTTGACTGACGGTTTACTTAATATTGAGCTGCTTTTGAAATGTGCATTGAAAAATTTTAAATTCCCTCTACATGTAATAATAGTATGTTGTAGTCCCTTGAGGAAATTGAAGCTTTTAGGAATAAAACTTGTACAACTTACACAATGAGCCCAAAAGATGGCGCAGGGACAATCTCAAAATTT